AATTATCTCCTTACTACGCTTTGTACTAAGGAATAACTACTTTAGTTACCAAGGTACTACTTATAAGCAAATATCTGGTTTAGCTATAGGCACTTCTTGTGCCCCTATTATAGCAAATCTATATTGTGCTAGTAAAGAAGTAGACCTTGCGAGATACTGCCAATCTAATAACTACTTTTATAGTAGATATATTAATGATATCTTCTCTACCTTTAGAGGTACTAAAGAAGCACTCCAAACCTTTCTAAATAAAGTCCAATTAGGACCTCTAGAAATAACTTGGACTTATTCTAAAGTCTCTATGAACTTCCTAGACGTACAAGTTTACTCCCTACAAGGAAGACTTACTACTACTATTTATAGAAAAGACTTAAATAAGTACCTATATATCCTATTCTCCTCAGCCCACCCTATTGCGGCTAAAAAGGCTTTTATCAAAGCTAAAAGGAGTAGGTTAAGGTTAATTTGTTCTGAAGAAGAGGATTATTATAATACTCAAAGATTTTTCTTCTTAAACCTCTTAAGAAGAGGTTACCCACAAAACCTTTTAAATAAGCTATTTAGCCTCCCTCTTACAAGGACCTAAGAGGAAAAGGAAGATAATCTAATTATCTTTCCTAGTAGCTATAATCCTATTTGGGAGTATATTAATATATCCTCTATTAGTAAAGACTTTTATAAGATAGCAGAGGAGGTAGGACTAACCCTCCCTGCTAACCTTTATAAAAATAAGTTCTTACTCTCCCTTAAACGAACTTGTAATTTTTATGACTTGTTTAATAGATCTAATAAGATAATCTTAGAAGAAGAAGCTCTCCTAAATATAAATCTAGATCCCTAACTCTGAACGTAGTTTAACTACTAGTAATACTAGGGTGTTATAATTTATAATTAGGGGTTAAGAGAAGACTAGGCTATTTGTATAAATGGCAATAGGCCTCTACTCTAGACGCTTAAACCTTAGGTTTGCAACTAGTTCTGAAATGAGACCCTAGTCTCTTTTTTAGCATTATTCTTCAATAATAGATACAGGATATTAGCCTTTTTCTCCTTCCTAGGGAGTAAGTTTAGTATTGTTAAGGTTCAAAACCTTAACCCTAACCTACCCCTAACCCTAACCCTAAAGGGGGAAGGATAGGTACTACTATCTTTAAAGAAAGTTTACCTATAAAGGCGCAAGATAGAAAACCTAACTCTTAAGAAGAAATACTAGGTATTCTAAGCAAAGATAAGAGCGAGCAAATAGCTCCTTATCCTCTCTTTAGGAAAAGAGATAATAGTAAAAAGCAAAAATAAAGAGGAAAGCTCTCTCTAATATAAGTCTTCTTGCTCCCTTATTTTTATCCTAGTCTAGTAACTAGATCCCTTCTAGTAAAACACGAAAAAAAGAGAAAGATAAGAAGAATTATCTTACTACTAAAGTTACTATCCCCTACCTAGTCTCCTACCTAGTAGGCTAGCTATTATTTTAGATAATAGTTACGTAATCTAGGATAGATTGGCTCTAGTAAACTAAATTATACTATCTCTATAGAGTAACTTCTTCCCTCTACTATACTTTTCCTATACTAGAGGGATAGATTTACCTAAAAAAGAGTAGTTATAAGAGGTAGTAAGATACTTTCTTACTAGATTCTTACCTTATTAGCCTAAGTGTGAGGGATTAAAACCCCTGCCTAGCTTAGGTGAGGGATTAAAATCTCTACACCTTAGGTGAGGGATTAAAATCTCTACACCTTAGGTAAGGGATTAAAACCCCTCTAATAAGCACTAAGAATTTAGCTTGCAGCTAAATGCAAATCTTAAGGTCTAAGCTTAGAATAGTACCTCCTTGCCCCCTGCTAGTAGAATAATTCTACTAAGCTAAGAGGAGGGGTACTGCCCTAGTGCGGTATTTCTTCTTCTAAGGCTATAGTTAGGTTATACTATCTTGTCTATAAAAGAACAAACTGCCTACAGTCCCTGAAGAGCACATAGGCGAAAGGAGAGTTATTTCTTAACCTCCTAGGACTGCTTCTTGTTCTCTTTAGGACTTTATCCTAACTTCCTTCTAAGCTAAGACCTTCGGCCTTAGCTTATCCTAACCCTAACCCTAACCCTAGATAATAGTTACGTAATCTAGGATAGATTGGCTCTAGTAAACTAAATTATACTATCTCTATAGAGTAACTTCTTCCCTCTACTATACTTTTCCTATACTAGAGGGATAGATTTACCTAAAAAAGAGTAGTTATAAGAGGTAGTAAGATACTTTCTTACTAGATTCTTACCTTATTAGCCTAAGTGTGAGGGATTAAAACCCCTGCCTAGCTTAGGTGAGGGATTAAAATCTCTACACCTTAGGTGAGGGATTAAAATCTCTACACCTTAGGTAAGGGATTAAAACCCCTCTAATAAGCACTAAGAATTTAGCTTGCAGCTAAATGCAAATCTTAAGGTCTAAGCTTAGAATAGTACCTCCTTGCCCCCTGCTAGTAGAATAATTCTACTAAGCTAAGAGGAGGGGTACTGCCCTAGTGCGGTATTTCTTCTTCTAAGGCTATAGTTAGGTTATACTATCTTGTCTATAAAAGAACAAACTGCCTACAGTCCCTGAAGAGCACATAGGCGAAAGGAGAGTTATTTCTTAACCTCCTAGGACTGCTTCTTGTTCTCTTTAGGACTTTATCCTAACTTCCTTCTAAGCTAAGACCTTCGGCCTTAGCTTATCCTAACCCTAACCCTAACCCTAACCCTTCTAAGCTAAGACCTTCGGCCTTAGCTTATCCTAACCCTAACCCTAACCCTACTATTGGGTCGGCTTGGGTCAGCTTGGGTCTTGCTAACCCTAACCCTAGTGTTTCCTTGTGGGCAACACCCTGTTTGTTGCCCTCGTATAAAGGTACTACCTTAGCATTAAGGGTACTATATTTTACCCTAGGAATCTACTTTAAATAGTGCTTAATATACTAAAGCTAAGCTACTAAGATTAAGGCTAGTATAATTATAAGAAGATAGTACAGGAAATTATAAATACTATATATTTTTTAGTATAATATATCTTTTACTTCTTTTAATATATACTATACTTTATTAATAGATTATTTTTTTATATTTATAAATAGTTAGCCTAAATCCTAACTTATTTAAATTATTATTATATATTAATATTTAAGTTATTATTTTTAAACTTTTTATTTACTTTAAATTATTTATTAGTAGTTTTTAGTATAGTAATTACTATAAGTATTTCTTTTAATAAATAAAATCTAAATACTAGTTATTTCTTATATAGATCCTTAATTTATATTAGGTATAGTAACAAGTTAAATTATATAGTAGTAATATACTTATTTTTAAGTAAGCTTAACTAATACTAATTATTCTAGAGTTTCTCTTAGGAACTAATAGCTAGTAAACTACTTAATAATTTAACTTCTTAGTAATTAAACTAGTTAGTTTATTTTAATTTTATTATTATATATTTTAGTATATTAGGGTATTATAAATACTATATAATATATACTAAGTACTCTATTTATATTAGCTATTATAATATTACTTAGAAGTTTTATTATATTTTTAATTCTTATTTAGTATATACTAGATATATAATAAAAATTACTTAAAATATAAAAAAAATTTAAGATATAAAAAAAAATTAAGATATAAAAAAAAATTAAGATATATAAAAAAATTTAAAAAAAAATTAAGATATAAAAAAAATATTTTGCCCTAAGAATCTACTCTAAATAGTGGTCTGTGCGTTAGGGGTAAGATATAGGTAATAGGGGTAGTAGATAGTAGGTAGTAGGTAGTATAGATAGGTACGGGCGATAGGTATAGGCGATAGGTATAGTGGGTGGTATGGTGGGTAGTATAGTAGGTAGTATAGGTAGGGTAGGGGTCGCAGGAAACAGGTTTTAGGTAGTAGGGGTCGCAGGAAACGGGTTTTGGGTAGTAGGGGTTAGGGTAGGGGTTGCAGGAAACGGGTTTTAGGTAGCAGGGGTCGCAGGAAACAGGTTTTAGGTAGTAGGGGTTAGGGTAGGGGTCGCAGGAAATGGGTTTTGGGTGGCAGGGGTCGCAGGAAACGGGTTTTAGGTGGCAGGGGTCGCAGGAAACGGGTTTTAGGTGGTAGGGGTTAGGGTAGGGGTCGCAGGAAACGGGTTTTAGGTAGTAGGGGTTGCAGGAAACGGGTTTTGGGTTTTAATTTTCCTCGCATGGTTATTTCCTGCAAGACGCTAGTAGCGCACAGTCCTCTTTGGAGTCGTTTCCTGGCAGGAAACGACTTTCCCACAATATGTAGAGGTTTAGTAGTAGATTAGGATAATAGGTGTTAATTAAATATTAAACAAATTAATACTGTCTATATTAATTCTTATAGGTATTTATACTGCCTATAATCACGTAATCTGCCTAGCTTGGGCCACTCTAGCCTATACTTAGGTTAGTAGGGTTGGCGGAGCCCTGTGTCCTGACACTTTCCTAATATACTTAACATATAGTATCTAACTTCTACTTTAGTAAGTATAAATATAAAAGTTCTTAAAAGTACTATAAGATAAATAATAGGTATAAGCAATTATAAGGTACTTTATAGGACATAGCGTAGTAAGGTAACATAATGTAGTAAGTAAGCTTAAGAATATTAATATAAACGCGTATACTCTAGTTAATATATAAGGAGAATAAGAATGTAAGAAGAAGAGATAGAAGATAGTCTTAACCCTATCCAAGAAATAAAGGAAATATGTACTAAGGGGATACTAAATAGAATAGAAAGAGAAAGGGAGAGTTATAGCTCCTAAGTAGTAAGGGAAGTAAAGGGGTTTCTTATATTATAAAAGATTTTCTATAGGTATTAGTCTACATGGCCTACAAGAACGCTATTCGATTGTGAACAAGAATTTCAAAAAACTCCTTACTATAGGTTCGTAATAGTAGCCTAGGTGTTAGAATATTCTATTTCTAAGGCTACTAATTTATGTTTCATGTACGGTACCCTACTTCCCAGAGACTCTTTATGTTGTCCGATCGACAAGTTGGCCTTGCTCTATTCTCATACAACATATGCGCTCGGGTTGCGAACATCCTAACTCATCGACTTGATTATCCACCGGCCAGTCATACCCATTGATGACAGCCAGAACGCGGACCTTGACGGTAGCCTTTTCCATCAATTGCACCAGAGACTTCAACAATTTCTTTCCGTCCGCACTTCTTGGATAGGATCTACACCGATCGACACGATCCAGCACGATCCATATAGTTTTTTCTGGCGAAAACAGGTTCAGGATCATGAATGCGACTTTCTGGAGAGATTCACTAGCCCTAAGGCGGTGATTATCCTGGCCATCTCCGCTTTGCCTCGACAGCTCGAATAGTTTCTGGTACGTTTGAAGTTCTGCAAAGAGTCCAGCGTAATGCTCTTGATTCCGTAGTAACTGGTAGTTCTGCTTCAATAATTGAAATATAATAGTCGATAAAATGTGCTGAAAACTTCTGGGTTCCCGTTGTCCGATGAGTTGGAACGTATATGCATCTGCTTCGCCGATGCTTCTAATGTGCCTTATGATGTGCAGTGCGACCGGAGACAACCAGCATTGAATCGAGTCGTAATAGGATCTGTCGTTGTATCCTACTAAAAGTAGCATTTGGGAGTGGCATGAATGTTGCCACGCTTGTATTGCAGGGTCGTTTTCGAAGGCAGCAAGTTTAGACTTCGTCATCAACTCGACATAGATCCAGTCTTCGAAATGTAAGTCTAGCTCACGCTGATATTTTTCCAATGTCGCCCAATCGAGCTCTCGAGAAGATGTCTCAAGAGACAAAAAGCTTTGGACGTGGTTTAGACGGTCGCTGTCGTGATTATCTTGCAATTCTGTCTTGGTAATCATTAAAGTACGCTTTCAAAGTCTGGATCCACTCACGTTGAATCTGCTTCCGAAGCTCTTTTCCCATGGTTAGTATGGTGGGTGCAGAAATGCTTTAGTTCCTGACTTAAGAGTACTCACCTTTGTTATCATGTTTGATAGTATCTACACTCTTGTTCAGAAGTTCCTCGGTCGTCTGTCGCACATCAACAATACAAATTTGCACTCTGGATGCCTGTTCGACTATAGAAGTAGCCGGGCCGATGAATGCTCGAAGCCAACGACCTGAAAGAGTAAGTTTGAGTGGTGTTAAATCTAGCACGGTGTACGAACCCATGCCTCTTCTGGAATAGTATTTGGTCGATGCTATACAAAATTGTATAAAGGTATCGTACGCGGTCACGATCTGAGATTGCAGCTGCTGATCCAGCTCATGATCATCATTGTAAATGCGTTCATACACCCGAAATCCTGGAATCCTATGTCTAATCTGGTGCAATGTTTCGGCAACTTGTCGCTCAATAGAAGCCTTGGTTTGTGCGATCTGTTTGTTTTCAGCTTCATTTCTCAAACAGGGAAGCGGGTTGTGTCACAGTGAAGAAGAGGGCGATTGTGCCTACTGCCATACCACCGAAAGGAGCTCCAAAGTCCTTTATAACCTGCACGATAGGTTCAAGCTGTCGCATCATGTCCGCAGCAGTCTCTCCAAAGTCTTGGACATTTCTCATCCTTTTCTTTGCGCCATGTTCATGTTGTGACTCAAACGTCGCTTGCGCTTTCGCGGTATCATTCCAGAAGATGTTGAAGGCCGCGACACTGTCAAGATTTAGAGCAGCGAATTGGTGCTCTGGAAGATTGCGTTTCTTTTTGAAAAAATCTCTTAGTTCCTTCTGTTCGTGATCTGATAGTTGCAGTTTGGCCCTGCGAGGCTGATGAGTTACGTCCAACCGGTCTCCTATCAAAGTACGTACAGATCACGATCTGTAAACCTCTTGCTTAGATTCGGAGAAATTTTGGAATCCGACATTTTCTTAGCTCTGTCTCAAATGAAAAAAAGAAAGGTTTATTTCACTCTATGAGCTAGAGGGTATCTCAACTGGATCTGGTTGTTTTGAGTATATGATGGACATCAAGGCTGTAACCTAGAAGCTGTTGTCCATCCACGAACTGGCAGTGGACACCCCTGTTTAGGTTGCAATGGCATATATGAAGGCTGTCAGACATTCCAATAGATTCGCCTGGCCAAAGCAGGATGCTGCAGGTATGCGGTGTCCTGTTATTGGACGGCAAAATTCCTGCTTACGTTGTATTTGCATCCATGCGACACAGCAATTACATCAGACTAGCCGAATCTGATGCATCGTAGCTGCCGGCCTTCTTTGAACTCTTCGGTAAGGATCATATGTATCGTCACTCATTGAAAAAAAGAACTGTAAATCACCGGCTAACACCCGTTCAAGATACCTACCGAACAAGATACAACTCGATTAATAAAACAGTTGCAGCCATCAAGCTGGAACAGAACACAATCCCGGCACGCAAAGTCACCGTGTCTGTGAAAACGGATTGTGCCTCACCGGAATATTGCTCTTACCCAATCATCTGCCTTGCATACCAGCCACCACACGGCTTTTGTGTACATTGTTATTGCCAAGAACACTATTCTGGTGGGCAATTCCACAGCATGCAGTTGACTCTAGGAAATAGCTTGCGAAGACACTGCGAAAATGGGGGATAAACCAATTGCGCAGAGCTGATAAATCACCCCTTCGTAATCTGACCATGTTGTGGCTGCTTATGATGCTTCTCAACATAATTTGGCGGGCGATGTAGCAAGGCAAATATCATGAGATTGTGCCTGTGATTTCACCGTGCATACGCACAGGTAATGCCTTGTTGGGGGCCAGTTGCGGATTCTTTACATATGTGGAAACGTGGAACTGCCTGCCTTGAGAAAAGGTCTTCATCAGTTACTAGAGTGTAGGCTATCATACTATATGACATTTACTACAAGAAAATCTGGCTGATCCGTTTCTTTTCGTGCTTCGAAACCTGGCTACGATTGTGACTTTGCATCTCGAGGATAAGGTTAAGGAAACGAGATACTCCTCATCATGACCTTACCAGTTGATCACTCAGTAACTGTAATTGAAGAACGCCTATTAGTAACAAGCTTAAGTTAGCTAACAATCTCTAGACGTTGCTCGAGAAGCTAAATGCTTTGGAGCAGCAGGTTCAGGAACTTGAGAAGAAAACCAAGTCGGTACAAGAGCCTCCGCTCACACCAACCAAAACAGTTGGAATTCAAGAAGGAAAGCCTGAGGTAAGAATAGGAGCCCAACCGGTTTGTTCTTAAATCAAGACTGAATTCGACAGCAGCATGATCAGGAAAGTGGAGGGAAAAAGGCGAGCAATGCAAGTGAAGAGACCGGCCCCAACTCTCGGGTGCAAATTATCAAGAAAACGATCAATCGAGAAACGGGGGAACAAAATGAAGTTGAAGAAACAAGAGCTTCTGGTACAGAATCAGAAGACACTAGCAAACGAGCTTTCATCTTGCGGAAAATGATACCTGAGAGGTTCAGTGACCATGACCCCAAATCTGAGATCGATATCGTCAACCCTCATCTATGGGATCTACTGAAGAAACATCTGGGTGACTATCCATATCATATGTTCCGGGGTGGACCACTGACAATCCCGTCACCATTCGAAGCTATCGTTTTTGCATGGGATACTCTTGAGAAGGTTGTGGTCGAACCAACAGACGACTCATTCGAGAAACAGGCTCGAGAAGACCTGGGTCTCCTTCTAGGCATCATCTCTGGTGGGTCTTCGGGTGATCCAAAATTGGACAGATATTTCAAAGGGCGAAAGGTAAACACCGAGGAACGCACTGTCCAGTATGACAATCTGTGGACTATATTTCCTCCAGGATGTTTGGTTTATGGGAAGCCTTTCCAAAACCAAGACCAACTGTTCGTTGTGAGAGACAACTTGAGAACTTGGCCTTTTTATGAGGACACGAACATCTGGAAACTGGATGCCTGGACGTTTGACTGGACGGGAGACAAATTCGAACGCACTTGTTTGACACTGTCGATCGAACAATACGAAGGGCAGGAAAAGATCATAACTCTGCCTTTCTACCCTTTTGAGTTTCATCCGGAGTACAGCACGGGAAGGATACAAAATGAATTATTGGAACGTGGAAAGAAGTTGAGAAAGCTGTCCGAGGCAGATCAGGGCGCTCGGATGTTTGATTACAATGGCGACTGTATCTTTGGACAAAAGGGCTTCAGCGGGCTACAAAACGATGACGTAATTCGAACTCATCCGTTGAATACTGAGCCCGACTAACTTGTGTTCAGGAAAACTCAGACACGCAGTCACAGAATTCGTTTTTCGAGTCGTTGGGTTTGTTAAGGCGCAGAGGTCATCGTGCACCACCCTCTGAGCTCACAAGGGTCGTACATGCGAAATCAACACATGTAGGGATATACAAATGTGCATGAGAATTCTGCTAAATTTCGAAACAGGTAAACAGTAGGATCATGGTCGATCCACTTTCATACTTCCAATACGGACCCCCAGTTGCTCGAAATGGTACACTTGAACCCAGCCACGACGATTGGAACTGCACATGCGCAGACTGTAAGAACAACGATGGATTAGCCAAGAAATACAGGACGGAATTTGACAGTATGAGCCATTCAGAAGACTGGGACGACGAGATGTACATGCTTTGTCCACCTCGTACCCTGGGCTACATTCTCGCCCATAAGCAATGGGCTCAACTACAGATCTCGTCTATTCAAGATATTCCTCCAGATGACCCAGATAACGCGTGGAACTCTCGACTCCAGCTCGCCGACGACGAGACCAAACAACTCCTCTTCAATCTAGTACGCAGTCACAATTCCTTCTCTTCGGATGATTCTCAGCGGAATGTGAATAAAAAGTATGAGGCCTACAAAAAACTTGAAGTGAATGACATTGTACCCGGCAAGGGCAAAGGCTTGGTGATTCTTCTCTATGGTATGAGATAACTCCTTTCCCAACCAAGTCATGTTCTTCACTGGTCTTATCTTACTTACGTCACTAGGACCACCAGGGGTTGGGAAAACATCTACGGCCGAGACAATCGCCGTCGCCACTCGCAAGCCTCTCTTCTCCATTAGCGTTGCTGATGTTGGAACCAAGGCACGCCATGTTGAGGCCAATCTGTCCAAGATATTTTCTCTAGCCACCAAATGGCAGGCAATCCTTCTCATGTAAGGGGTGGCGCTGCAGAAATATCGGTAGACGTTGCTGACAAGAATCCAGTGATGAGGCAGACGTATTCCTCGAAAGTCGAAAGACAGGTGCAGGCACCTCCACAGACAAAAACGCTCTTGTTTCCGTCTTCCTCCGTGTCCTCGAGTACTATCAGGGCATCATGTTCCTCACCACAAACCAGATCGCCCAATTTGATGTGGCAATCCCTTCCCGCATTCATCTGTCAGTTCAATATGAAACACTGAAGAAACCGCAGATGGAGAAGATTTTCAAAGGCTTCCTTGAACCACTAAACGAACAGGGTCTTGTCAAAGATTACGAGAAAATTCTTGAATGGCTCAAGGAAGATGTCTATCCCATTGGATTTGATGGCCGGCAAATTCGCAATATTGTCACAACCGCCTTGGTGCTATCTCGCGCTGACGCACAGTATGGCAAAGCAAAAGCAAAGTTGACGAAATCGCATTTGAAACTTGTTGTGAATAATTCGCGTGCTTTCAAGAACGAGTTCATAAAGCAGTACGATCGCTATCTCAGGTCTCAGGACGATATGATTAGCTAATAGTCGAGTGGACTTGAGTCATCTTTATAGAATGAATTGGAAATACATGGGTTCAGATTGTGCCTACCGGTGTGATTGAGAGGAGGACTTCCAGAGAGAAGGCCAGGTTGTCTCCATAATCTCTGATGAAAGAAGAATCAATCTAGAGTCGTTGCAAAACGCTTTGTCAGCCACTCTGCGTGCAAAATGTCATAAGTCGCAATGTTCGCGTTAGACATGGAAACAGTATCAGTTACTGTGCACACAGTAGCTTCTTCCTTCGGTGATAATTGTCCCTCGACGCCCGCGCCGGAAATGCAAACATAGCAGACCTCAGCCTGTGCAATTTCCAATTTCATTGGCAAAGTGTCGGTGACCGCACGGCCGGGGATCCGATGCACACTGTAGTTACCCCAAGTATAGAGCCTAGATAGAAGAGGTACCGTATTTATCTTATTCTTGTAGCATCCACCCTTAGGCTTAGCCTCTTATATAACGTAGCCCTATGTTAGTAGTACTAGTTAGAGCCACAGTGTATACGTGTCAATAGGTTATTTTCATGCATTATGATAGTGCCTCGTAGTAGTAGTATAAGGGTATTAAAATATATATAAGCTAAATTAGACGTTGGTGGGTATATGTAAAGCATACGCAGAAGAATCCTATCGCTGGAAAAGATACGAGAATCATGACCCTAGGATCGCGACACTTGCACATGAAGTATACTTCAAAGAGCGCATATCAAGTGCTCATCGAGCCCACCGGATCCACGTAATATCTTGATCCAATGCTTTTACGAAGTTTGTTCCGTCTTTTCTCTGCTCTCCGCTCTTTGAAATTCTCCTTTACACCGCTTAGGCCAATGTATTGGACTTCATATTTCCTGATACCTGGTAGACTGCGACCTTGGCGCCATGAGGCCCGTCGCCCAGGTGCTTCATAGGACACATTTGAGCGGAGGCTGTTACTAGACCGACGCTTTGAGATGCCACCACCTTCATGAGTGCCGAAATGCTTTGTTGGAGCCTTGCCAAGCGCCTTGGGCGACGAAGGATGGTTCGAGCTTTGAGGTGATTTGTAAAAATGGGGCGGCAGTGTGATATGATGACGACGCTTGTTGGTTCCATGGCGTTCAACACCCAGAGAATTACCAATTAAGAAGCCGCCAGGTCCGCGAAGGCCACTGGTGAGCTTCCTCCCAAAAGTCGACGCCCGTCTTGGGGGTGCAGGTGGTTCATCGTCTTCGACATCGCTGGTATCTCCGCCAGTGGGAAGAGTATGATCCTCATCGCTATCATCATCACTGTCTTCGAAGCCATCCCAGAAACCACGTGGTCGCCAGAAGGGATGGAGGGTGCCGTTATCATCATCTATATTAGGAACACGAGGAATCCGACGAGACTGTGCGTGGGTGCCGCTGACTGCATGACGACGTCGATTGATAGATGCACGGGCCAAAAGAGGCGTAATGAGATGGTCAGAGTAACGACGCGCACGCTGAACAAGTCTGGAGCGGCGTTGAGGGTGAGAGTCGGAGCGTTTGGGTGGACCAGGGACAAGCTCACGTTCGAGCTCTTCAGCGGGTGTGGGGGGTATGAACATGATCACGGGAGGCTCCGGCGGGGGTCGTGGATTCAGAAGAGGAGTGTCTACAGCGTCTGCCTGCGACGCATCTTGGTTCATCGGCGGCGTAGAGGGTTCGATGGTAAGGGTCGGTTGCAGGGGTTGCTCAAGCATCTCCTCGTGTCCCTCGCGGGCATCAACAAATGGCGGCGTAGGACTCGCTTGTAGGTCACGAGGATCTTCGGTAGACAGATGCGCATCGGCTGCAAGTAGGGGCTGATCCAGTGGTAACGAGTTGCTTCGAGGAACTTGTTGTACAACTAAGAGCGAGTGGTTATTATGAGGATAAATGCTGACTGCAGTAGCCTCGCTGACTTCGAGTGTATCAGACATCTGCGAGAAGGGTGTGCCTTGTGCGTAGAGATGGCGTGCGTCGGCATGTTCCTCGCTATGCACCGTAGACAAGTCGAAGCTGACCCGGCCATTGTCTACAGAGCGTCGGCGCCATTCGTGGCTTCGTCGGGACATCTCCTCTGTTGAGACGCGATCCAGGTTAGGGCGCATCGGGAAGTCTGGCGACACAGACGACCGGTCTTGGCTATGCATGCTCCATCGGCGTTCGCCAGAGCGGCCTCTCAGAGAACGAGAGCCTCGGCGCATAGGTGGTGAGAGATCCTGGAGCGGCGAGAAGTCATGCAAATGTTCAGGGGATACAGGGAAATGGCCTGTGATGGGAATGAGCGTGGACTCCTCCGTGACTTCGTGGTCGGCAACAAGTCGTCGAACTCTGTCCCCCAGGCCAGAGGGCACACCACGCCTTTCCTCCACGTGCGCGGCAGTATCCATGACCGCGTCCGGCGCGGTCGATCTGTTGGTTTTCCGGATGGGAAGGTCTGGCAGAGTTCTGTTGGTTACGACTGCAATTTTGCTCTCAGAGGTTGGCCGTCGGCTCCGGTCCTGCTTTCGTGATGCGGGTGTCGAAAGATGCGGTCTGGGTGACAGGGTAGGTGTGACAGGCCGCTTCGGTTGGGATAGTTCGATTGGTATGGGTTCCTCTATCGGTGGGGTGGGTGGAGGCGGAGATAGCTGTGAGAAGTTCCTAGGACCTGGGTGCACTGATACCCTTCGAGCAGACTCAGGCGCAGAAGTATTGCGCCTGTGGCTGCTTGTGTTAGAAGACTGTGGGCGGCCGATTGTGTTCGATCTGCTGAGTATGTCTGCAGCAGGTTGCAAGACTCGACGAACAGACTCCTGGTGTGCAAGTGTGTGTCGCGAGCTGTCAATGGTCCTGGTGCTTCGCATTGACAAGGCTGGAGACATGTTGCGTTCTGGGCCCAATGGACGCTCAGAGGCCATGGGACCTGAGTCGGTGCTGATCCTCTTTTGTCGATCGGCAACGCTGAGCCGCTTGTGAACTAGACGATGCAGTGGAACCTCGTTGAGAATCAGAGAATTGCGATTGGAATGCGTGTCCGAGCCGAATTCTGCAGGCGAAGTCAAATCCCTCCTGTATGCCATGTTCTTGCCAGAATGGCGCAACGTCTGATGGCGTCGCGGTGGTGTGACAATGACCATGGCTTCGACCATAGTCGAGGTTGTCGACGAGGTTGACATGCGTTTGCTGCTAGCGTCGCGAGGTGACTGTCCTGCCGTGTCTTTGCTCTCAATTGGCCAACCAATCGATTGCGCAAAGTTCTCCATGGAAGGAGTAACAGGACTATTGTTGCCGACCTCGATGCGTTCGCGTAGAGCAGACGTCCGCCGTGTCCGCGTGCTTGAGGTGGGTGAGGCAGTCTCGACTACAACAACGGCGGGCCGGGCGGTCTTGCGTGGGGAGTAGGGTGCATCCTCTTGTAACGATGATGCCGAATCTCCGCGCCGCCGAGATGATCTGGGTGCTTTTACTGGCGATGAAGTCACGGGATCCTCCTGTTGTGGTTTCGGGACAGGCTCCTTTTGTAGCGATGGTTTTGGACCCTTTATCAGAGACGAATTCACCCCAGGCTCTCTCGTGGGCGTGGATCCGGAGTCCTTTTGTGGCGATGGCTTGTACTCCTTTACTGATGACGGTTCGTATGCCTTGATTGGCGACGGTTTGTACTCCTTTTGTGGCGATGATTTGGAGTTGCGTTTTCTGCGGATTGTCACGTTCCGCATTAGGTCTGTGTTCCATTCTCGATCTGGAATCTGCTCTTGTACAGGAGACTCGTTGTTCTCTTCAGCGCCAGCCGTGGTATCCGCATCCAGCGCTGGCTCAAAATACGGCTCTTTCCTGTTGGTGGGAGTGACTTGATCCTCCTCAAGCTCAAAAGCCAGTCCCAGCCCTCGATGTTCCTGTACAGTGCTCAGACGGTCACCCCCCACGGGCGTTTCCGATCCGCTATCTGGGTTGGAGGAGAGGTCTTCGCGCGCGGTGCGGAACGACTCGGCCCGTGACGAGGGATAGGTCAGCATGGGCGGACGTTCAGCGGCGGGCTGTGATGGCTGAGACGAGGCATTCGTGCGTGGCGGGCTGGGATCGGGCGTCGGCGGACTGCGGGCGTTCACTGGAGTACCTGTCTTCGTCATGAGTGCGTTCACTACGCTGTCAGCGTGCGGCGACTGCTCTGACGTTTGGGCAGAATTTCCGCCGTCTTGCGAAAGGGTGGGAGGTGTCGGGGGCAGGCCACTCTCCGCTCGACCCAGGACGCCTGGCGATACTAGTGGAGTGGGTTGCCGGCTGGGGACAGACTCGAAGTCATTGTCTGTGGTGTTGGTGGTGTAGGAGAGATCGCGCTTGAGTGGTGCGGCGGTGCGTGAGTAGGGACGGGCGTCTTGGTGGTGACGCGGAAGATGCTTGGAAGAATGGCGGAGGGATGGCGAGGCTCGGAATGATTCCTCCAGCAGCGTGTATGGGCCCGGGGCGGATGTTGCCATTTCGACACGCCGGGTGCCTAATCAAGACGTTCTCCCGTTCTGGAATCGGGTGTGGGTGTGGGTGTGGGTGTGGGTGTGGATTGGTGTATGTTCGTGTGCGTGTGCGTGTGTGCGCTGCCAGGGTTAATGTGCGGCGGCAGGTGCGTTGTTCCTCGGGGCTACGAGGAAGCCATGCTGGTGGCGCGCGACGATGCTGTACTGGTCTGCATGCGATACTAAAAATGGCAGACGGGTGTAGGGTATCGTCGAGGCTTGAGGTCGTCACTGCGAAGTTACGGTTGGAAGGCGGTGGTGTGGTCGGTGTTGTACTGAGTGTACTCCTATGCAACGTTCCGGCCAACGCAGGTTGCCTTGGACCCACTGTGCCAAGCTCGTCGTTCCCGTCGCAGTTGACTTGCCAGGTTTCTAGGAGGTGAGAGTAGTCGATGCGATTCTCAACGCCGAGGACGACGTTGTTGGGCGTCTTGAGTCGTCGTTGTCGTAGTCGTTGTCGTTGTCGTTGTCGTTGTCGTCAAGGAGCACGAGGGGCTGGGCCGAGCTGGGCGGTTGGGCAGGGCAGAGGAGTCGCTTGTGTCCCTGTAGTAGGTAGTATAGGTGGTAGGTAGGTAGGTAGGCAGGTAGGTAGGCAGGTAGAAAGTCGAGCAGGGCTAGGCGCAGAAATGGCGGCGTCGAGAGGGCTTGGGCTTGGGAAAACCCATCTAGCTCTCCGCATTCCCCAACACTCCTATCCGGGGTGCTGCGACTTGGATGCCGGCAGACCAGATATCGCCCTGGCCGTTGGATAGTAAGCGTGTTGAGGCGGTTAATACCGTGGTACCTAATATGTCTTGGTCTGACTGAGTGAATGGGACAAATGTGCTCTTTGGAGTGAGTGCCTATTGCTGTGCACACAGTACCGGTAGATTAGATCCACGAACCGAGATGACGGAGTGGCTGCCCCCTTTGCACCATAGGATTGGAAAGGTAGACACCTGGCTGTACTAGCTATCTCGGCTAGTTTGAGGATCACGTTACTTGTCTTGTGCCATCAAAACAGCCAGGATGTAGCAGTGGCAAATCACATGATACTCAAACTACCCGAGCGCATGAGTAGGTAGCTTGGCAGCCACACGTCTTCTTACGATACAAGCAAGACTCACTGGAATCCGCCGTCTTCTCATCTGCCCACGCTCTGCACTGTTGCACCTTGTTGTACATTCAGCCTTTGGTACAGCGCTCGGAGGCGATTCCGCAGGCGTGCAATGCTGGCGGGGTGGCTGCACCTTCCCGTCTGATGTGCAGCTCCGGCAGGCACGATCTGAGATGCGACCAAATGGGACTAGCTCGAGGACTCTAGGCATATGGTATAGATGCTGTGTATGCAGTGTGGGCGACCACAAGATTATAGATGTGCATGCAGCACATTGGCTCTCATGCAAATAGTGCCGTCGACCAGCTAGGCACGGTATACTGCCGCGTCTACCCCCTCTCTCTCTCTCTAGGTACTGCATGGGTTGTCTTTCTGTTTTCATTTGTGCCACAGAAGCAAGTGCAGTTGTCTCTGAACTCGCGTAGGACTGCGAAGAGTGTACATGCAGTGCATGGTGTACCAAGGTGGTGTGTGCAAGATGGGGGGTTGCTGCCCCTTCTCCCATGGAACCATCCATCATCATCCTCACAATCTGATAGTCGTCCCCACCATCCTCGCTCATCATGATTTGATACCTACTCGGTTCCACAACATCATGTCTTCGTTGTGTGCGGGCAAGAGACAAAGGGCCTAAATCGGTACCTTTGCTGGTCAGCGCTAAGCTGAGGGCCTGCTGCGGCGCTTTAGGTTTGGGGGGCTTGGGTAGATACCGTACACCAAGTCGGTACGGGTACGGTCGAGTTGAAGACAAGCATTGGGTGGTGGGTGGGTAGAGTAGGTTAGAACCATGTACACGGGCTAGTCTGGGGAAGATAGATTGCATTGCTCATCGATTGTCGAGTCAATCCAGCAAGACTGTACCGGTATATGCTGCTGACAGTACGGCAGTCAGGTAGGTAGGTACATGCCATGATGTCTAGTAACCCCCGTAGGCCTTGGTGTTGTGTTGGGACGTCCGTGTGTGCTTGGGGTGGGCGGAGGATGGGATTTGCGTTGGGCTTCGGCTGGACTGACAACGGTGCCAGGTCGGTGTGGGTGGATGCGAACACGAGAGACATGCAACAAGTAGGTACTCGTAGATAGGTACTCTTAGGTAGGTAGGTTAGGGTTGCCGTGAAGCTTCGAGAGCAAACGACCATGTCTTTTTCCCCTGTCGTCTTCGGCTGTCATCTGCCGCCTGCTGTCTGTTTCCCTTTTCCCACGCGTGTGGCCCATTGTGAGTTGGCAATTCATCATCCACCGCCGCAAAGACGACGGGGGGCACAACCCACCTCCCAACGGCGGTTGACCTCAGCTGCGCCAGGCCCAACGTACGACCGTTCGTGTACATGTAATGAAACAAGGCCGAAGCGCCGAAGCTCGCAAGCCCACACGCCTTTGCTGCCAATACCTTTGCCACTACCCTCCTCAATCGACCTTGATGCTGATGTGGTGGATGGACCAAGTCGTAGTACCGGTAGTAGAGTAGGACCTCAGAAGGAACTGGATGCTGTGAACACCCAGATCGCTTCCGCTGCACCCACCTCCTAGCCACTGAAACAAACTAGCCCAAACCACTCCCCGCCCCCTTCTCCGTCTCCCCCAAGGGCTTGTCAGGCAGCCAGCCAGGCCAGACAGGCAGGGCAGGCATAGGCACGCGAGCATTCCTCCCCTCGAGCCCGCCCAGCAACGAAGGCGGCCCAAAGACGAACAACACACAAACATCTCCCCACCCCCTCCACCTCCCCCATTGCCTCCCTCTCCCCCCCTCTGTGGTCTGCCGGCAGCACCACCATGGTCGACGCCCAGGAAAACACGAGTAAACTCTTCTCCAAGACAAGCCGCTGGCGGACCAAGATCTTCGATAAGACGGGCGACGAAGCTACACCGTCCAAGCCAGCCAAAACCCAAGATCCAGACGACCTCGATGCCTTCCTCAAACCCTCGACCGACCGCGCCCAGCAACAGAGAGAGGCCATCGCCGCCTTTACGAGCCGGCCGCGCATAGATGTTGCGAGGGCGCAGCGATGGCCGGGCGCCCAGGAGATACTGGCGGGGGCTGCGGCCGTGGCGAAGAGCCCAGGCCCAGGTGGCATGAAGACGGGCACGCGCAAAAAAGGCCTGACAGTGGGCTTCGTGCGCACTGTGCCGGAGATCATAGGCCACGGTGGCGACGAGTGCGAGGACCCATCCATCATCGTCTCGCGGCAGAAAGCGAAACTACTACAGCAGCAACAGCAGCAGCAGCAGCAGCAGCAGCAACAGCAGCAGCGACAACAACAGGGCAATGCAGCGGCCGAAGATAGCAGCCTACTACCACCGCCGCCAAAACCTCAAGACGACGCCAATGTCGGCGTGCAGACCAACGGCATGGGCCGCACGCCCTCGCAGACAGAGCAGCGCAACAGCCTCACCCGCACCCTCACCAACCCGACCGAGATGTCAGCTCCCCTCGGCCAGAAGATGCAAATGGGCCATATCAACTCGCACGCGCAGCCTCCTCCCCCGCCCCCGCAACGCATGGGCCCAATGGGTTTAGGCGAGCGCCCTCGAGGCCTTGCACGAGCGCCCACTGGCTTCGACCTGCAAACCCTCGACACGGCCAATGATGAGGCCCGCCGACCCAGCATTGATTCGTCGTATTCACACGACTCCGATCCTCTGTCGCCCGTCGCCCAGCGCATGGCGCCTGTTCTGCCCTCGACAACGGAGGAAGAGGAGCATGACAACGACAAGAACGACGGCGACGACGACGATGATGAGAACTTACGGCCGAAGCCCCTATCGCGCACACAAACGGGCTTCCCAGGGCTCGCCGACAGTGCGGCCCCTGTGCCTACTATGCCAGACCTGCCAGACGTGCCGGTGCGGTTGCCTGAGATGAGCGTTGTGGAACAGGAGGGCGTGTCCCCACTTGACGGCCATGACGCCTTGGCCGACCGCTTTCTGCAGAGCGAGCCCGCCGAGGACAACTCTTTCGCGGCGAGGGTCAAGCAGAGGATGAGATCAGAGGAAGGGCGAGCTTTGCAAGAGGCAGCACAGCGAGCCGCTTCGGGCACCAAACGCGATTCCGACTCGAGCTCGTCCCTTTCCACAGACCCACCCCATACCGCAAGTCCTGCCTCGACCTATGCAACACCCAACGCCAGTCGCTCGCCACCACAAGCTGCCTACGTTGACCCTCCACGAGCCTCGCCAATGCGCTCGCTAGAAGCCGACAGCGACCCTTTTCGATCCAGGGCCCGTGGACCCTCTCCTGGACGACGGCCCATGCAACCTGCGCACGTTGTCACGGATGCAGATGCACGACCAGCGTCGTCGGCTTCATCCCAATACTCTGCTCCCTCGGTCCCTTCACAAGGGCAAGCTTCACCTGCCGTGCACAATGATCTTCCGTCCACAGCCAACGCCGCCGCGCCCCCACAGCGCATCCCATCCAACAATAGAGACAAGCCCCCCTTTGCGGCCTTTGCTCAAGGACACGCTCCCAACATGTCCAGCCGATCTGAGCAACGGCCATCGTACTTTCCACCCATCCAAACTCAGCAACAGCCACAATCGCAGTATCAAGCACTACCACCACCCCATTCACAGCCACAACCGCCACAACCGCAGCCACAACCGCAGCCACAGCCACAGCAGCTACCACATCTGGCCCATGCACAAAGCCAACATGTACCCGCAGTCACTCATGGTAGTCCCCTCGCTTCGAGGTCTAGGTCCGAAGTCAATTCGCACTCGTCAGCCCCTCTGTCGCGCTCAGACACAAAATTGCAAAACGATGCTGCCTACAGGGATTTTGCAGAGCGCGTGACGCATATGCGAGGCATCTTTAAACTGACGGCCCAGCTGGGAGGTCATGTATATAGCCACTCTCCCTCTGAATGGATTCGCGTGGCCACCTGGTGGTTTCTTAAAGGTCGCGCAGGCATGGAAAGCTTGATCAGAAGTCAAGCACAGGGAGGCGATGCGAACCAAGAGCGCTTGACCCAGCCTCATGTTGATCTCGCCAAGGTGTGGTGGATCCTAAACGAGGTCTTGCCAGATCATCCTGCCTTGCAGAGCTATGGAGGTCGCGGATCGGAAGCCGGTGGTCAGGCGGCGAGGCAGGCTGGAGACGCGGCAAGCGCAGACGCATTCGAAATACAAACTGCAATCACTCATTACCTCAAGCTGCTTGTAGGCTCGATGAAAAAGCATAACAGCATGCCCCCAACACAAGCTCTGATACAGGGCCAAGACCAGTCTGTCTGGGTAGAGTATCCCACTTTTGCGCCCGACGCGGCGAGCGTCCTGACTACCAGGCTCCACCCTACTGTTCCGGGCCAAAAGGGTGCTGGACCACCCCATATCAGCCTCTCGCAATACATACCCCTTGCAGACACAAAGGCCGATTTCTGCTATTTCAGAATGTTTGTAAACGCCTACCTCGCCACCGATGACCCCAATACAGACCGGGTTCCCATGTCGGCCGTCATCACCATACTTCGTCCAAGGGACCAATATCAGGTCAAGCTGGCCATTTGCAGTCAGAACAATCTCATCAACCTCGTTGTGGGTCATGGGTCGGATATCACGTGGAAGGATGTCAATTGGAATAAACAATCACGCAAGATTAGCGTCCAGCTGCGCCACGGCTTCGCGCTCACTCTCGAGCTTAGCGAAGGCGACATGCGCAGCCTCTGGTCTATCGTGGATCATACCAATCGAGTGGAGATGGACCTGCGAGAACGACGAGACGAGCGATTTGCGTGTAAGCTCTACTTGCGGGAAGCCAGCTACAGAGATCCGGCCAATCCATCAGCCTTCCCTGCCGAGCGCGTTCCAGGCTGCAAGCTCCTCGTTTTCCAGAAGATTGAACGAAGCAGCGAGGGCACTGGCAAGAGGAAACTACATCGAGGATACCGCATGGTGTTGGTGACGGCGCAACAATACAAGCAAGTCAGCCTGGTGAATCACGAATTAGGCACGAAACAGGAGCCCATGAACTTTGAATATGTCACCGAATCCGACCAGGCTCCAGCGATTCGGTTCCATTTCCGCGAAGAGTCACCAGACAAACGCGCCAGGTTATGCACCTACCATCTAGTTTTCCATGAAGGCAAGGACCGCAATCATCTGTTTGGTACATTCACATCCATGAACGTAAACGAGGGCGAAATGGCCTTTGCTCAGGTACCGCTCAAAGGGTTTTCCATCGAGAGCGCGGATCAGGCCGAGGGTTTCAGCCAAAAGGGCAGCCGTGTACTCGAAAAGATGCAATGGCAAGAGGCAAAGGTTCTGAATGTAGATCCGGAAGCTGCTGGACTGGAGTCTGCTCCCACCGTCAAGAGCGAGAGCTTGAGGATTGTCTGTAGACACACTGCAGGTATCATTTCGGACCGTATGAATTTGGGTAAGAGGAAGATCATATGGTTGGGTCCATGCTTCAAGCGCTGATGATTCATAGGTTCGGGCGAGCTACTCGTGCGCCTTCCAAACGATGGAGCTGCCGAATTGACGCTTTTGCGTGAACCACAACAAGATGTCACGGTGGCTATTGATGGCAGCAGAACGGATCGTGACGTGCCCGACGCGCTGGCCGAGCTGATCAAGACGCTCAACACAGCATCGACGATACGGCGGCTGAAATTCAACTCTTTTCAAGACTTGCACACATTCCAGCTTGCTGTGGCTGGCTTTGCTGTCAAATTTGACGGGTACGCACCCTTTTCACTGCGAGGAGCTTGTCCACGATCTAAACTAATGTAACGTTAGCCTTGCGCTCACTTTCTCCATCTCGCGCCGCCGCATGGTTGTACCCATCTACAAGCAATGGACAGCCAACAACATTCGCATCCAAGTTGTACAACAGGACAACATCGTTCAACTCCTAGCCTTTTTTGAAGACTTTTCCCACGCTGATGCCATGAACTTTCAATTGCGTACCATGGACACGTTTGAAAAGTGCGACAAAGGAGGCAAATTTGGTCTAAAGCTTGTTGACGCCAAATTCGCCCTTCCTGTCGAGGAGAGACGAGGTGAAGGCAAAATGCAAAAGGAAGAAGGGCGTTTGACTGGCTGGTCAGGTGTTAAACGACGCTTTGTCTGCCTGGACGAGATTGAGTATCCAGGTGAACACGACGACATCCTGATCCAATTCGACTCGGCAGAGAGTGAGTCTTTCCAGTGTTCAAAAATCCTTGCATGAAAAACTAATGAACACGTCTAGCTCGCGATCGATTTGCGGAAGCGCTTCCAGCGGCCACCATGGAGCGCAAATTTACTGTTCGACGAAAAATCTAGCTTGAACTTGAAATCCTTGCCGCAGCAGTAGTAATACTACTATACAGATGGCATTGGCTGTTCGATGACCTGCCCAGGAGGCCTGGGTTCCCAGCTACCGCGAGGCCGACGACCCCCAAAAGCGGCCTTTTCTTTCACTTTCGTAACCCAATCTCTTTTCTTCCACCACGATTCAATACCCGGTAGAATCTTTTTACTTTGTTCTCCTTTACCTCTTTTTTTCCAAACTTCCGTTTGCTTGTATATATTCTTCCTACATGGTAGTGGCATTCAAAGGGCGCGTCGGGAGTGTGACCTCATATCGAGTCAACCGTCGGTTTCTTATTCCAGCATGCGAAGGTGCTATTGGGATATGGTGCATCTTTTATCCAGGCTACTCAATTTTCTTTTGTGTTGGACATGCACACGGGTCCATAGGCACCGATCGACTATTAGAGCCATGGACGAATTATCTCTTTTTGGCTAGGAACTGTCAATGTCCTCGTGATGAATAGCAGAGATTGAGAAGATTATTCGATATGGCGTGTTAGCAATTAGGGATTGAGGTCGAGCCAGGCTAACACAAAGACGAATCAAACATACATTACACTACAGTATTGTACCTCTATACTCGCCCACGCACAGTTTCCCTCCGTCGTTTTGCGGCTGCTTTATCTGTTCTTCCTCCACTTTGCAGCACGACTAAGCATTACGAGTACGGATTCCCCAAACTTGCCCGTTTCGAGAAGCTCTCAAAGGACATCATCCACGTCATCCACGATCTGCACTTTGATGCTCCCATTACTCAAATCGCTACAAGTATGCAGTGCGTCGACCGCTTTTTCCAAAGGAAACGTGTGGCTGACTAGCGGAGTGACGTCTAGGATACCGCCGGCGAGACACTGGAGACCTGCAGGCCAGGTGTCGCGGTAGCGGTTTATAAAGCGGAGATCAATCTGGATCACAAAACGTCAAGTTCGATACAAAAATGATATTCAACCTGAGAACGGATAGCTGTGGGGGATTCAAAGGAAAACGACAAGCAACAAGGGAAAAGCAGAGGAGATTGGGGAGGAAGCCACTCACCTCACCATCGGAAAGATGCATAAAGGGCAAATTATTCATCACCTCATTGCCCACCCCAATCACCATGACCGTCCCCCCTCGCCTCACAGTATAACACGCAGTAACCACGCTACTCTCCACCCCAGTACACTCTAACACCGTCTCCGGCGCCCCATGCTCACTCCCATCCTCCCCAACACCAAACAACTCCCTAATCCGCCTCGCATTCTCCTCTGCACTCACGCTCCGATCCACCAGATATGGCAAAACCGATGGCACATAGTCCTTTGCAAACGCCAGCCTATGCGCCTCCAAATCCGTAATCACGAGTGGATGCGCACCGCTCGCCCGCGCAGCAGCAAGCGCAAGTAGCCCGATCGGTCCAGCGCCGCAGATTACTACGGCCCGACCCAGTGACAGCCTGGCAGATGCAATGCCGTGTATGACGACGGACAAGGGTTCGAGCAGCGCACCCTCTGCAAAAGAGACGTTGGGTGGCAGCTTATGGCACCACTTTGCCGGATGCGTTTTATAGCGCTGGATGGTGCCGTGTGTGGGATAGACGCCGGAGAATTGTACGGCGGAGCAGAGATTGTAGCGCCCGGATTGGCAGAGGAAGCATTGTGTGCAGGGGACGCCGGGTTCGAGGGCTATGCGGTCGCCTGGATCGGTGAGTACGTGGGGATGGATGGGAAGTGGAGGAGTGGGGAATTGTAATCGAAGAACGGACCTGGAACGAGGGTAGTGACGCCCTCGCCACATGCGAGGACTACACCTGCGGCTTCGTGGCCGAGGATACAGTCCCCTTTTATCACGTGCGGTCCTATCCGGCCGGTTTTCCAGAAGTGAATATCGGAACTGTGTGTAGATATTCCCTGTTAGCGCGCGTGGTTCATCGTACAAGGGATACCAGTAGGCTGTATGGGAGGAGAGCGGGGACGTACCCGCACACACCAGTTGCCTTGATGTGAAGGAGGACCTCGCCTTTGGCGGGCGCATACACGGGCGCATCGACTTGCTTCAGGTTGTGGTCTGCTGTGACCTGTAGGGAAGGATTGGGCAGTGGTGTTTTGAGCGTTGGTCTTGTGTCGCCATCTTCAGTCTGGCATGATCATTAGTAAGATTTTCAGGGTTAAGATGGATGGATGGATGCAGCGAACCGTGGCTAGGGACATGTTTACTGTTGTGGTCCAATTGGGCGGATGGAAGTGGACGGAAGAGAATGCAGTGGACAGGAGGACGAGAACTGCAAACCTGCTCTACGCTCTACGAGTCATCGCACTTACCTACAGCAGATATGATCCTATAGCGGCGCCATGACATTCGCGGGGGGCAAATGGCGGGGAAACAAAGTCTGTGGGGTCCATCTGATCGGGAACCCGATGTCGATGATAACCCTAATCGGCCTAGTTCAGGTCCGAGTGCGGATAACCAACCCATTTCCGCGGCCCCAGACTGGTTACGCTTTCCGGTATACTGTCACGCCGGATTACCCAATTTGGAAACCCATTGACTTCGCTGTCATATCCATCCTGCCATTTGTGTACCATTGAGCCTGCTTCCTCACGACGTAAGTACACTTTCTTTTATGCTTTTTCTTTCTGTATTCTAATTCTTTGAAACTTTGGTGCTTCGTCCTTTTTCGTCCACACTGGTGAGCGTAGTACAGTCATGCCTATCCTGAACGAAACGAACCAGCCCGATGGGTCTACAGACTCCGGCCAACATGCCGTGAACAGCTTGAAAAAGGAGGAAGAATTCGAAAACTCTTCGGTGAAACAGCTTTCAAAGGAAGAAGAACATGTGTTGCAGACATTCCGCCTCTTGATAGCAGATCTCTGCCAGCAGTTCAACGGTGGCCACCCAGGGTAAGCAGCATATTCGCAGAGCCATGCACGCAACAACCACTAAAATAACACGATAGAGGTGCAATTGGCATGGCAGCTATTGGCGTCGCACTCTGGAAATATGTCATGCGATACGCACCACACACACCCACCTACTTCAACCGAGACCGATTTGTGCTCTCCAATGGCCACACCTGTTTGTTTCAGTACACGTTTCTCCACCTCACAGGCTACAAGGCCATGACCCTTGACCAGCTTAAATCTTACCATTCAGACCGCGTGGACGCGCTGTGCCCCGGGCATCCTGAGATTGAGCACGAGGGCATCGAGCTGACCACTGGCCCGCTAGGACAAGGCGTTGCGAATGCAGTAGGGCTCGCCATGGCGACGAAGAACTTGCAGGCCATTTACAACAAGCCTGAGTTTGACATTGTGTCGAATCACACATGGTGTATGGCTGGTGATGCTTGTTTGCAGGAGGGTGTTGCACTCGAGGCCATTTCGTTGGCAGGTCACCTGAAGTTGAACAACCTTACGGTGATTTACGATAATAATCAAGTCACTTGCGATGGCAGTGTTGATCTCACTAATACAGAGGATGTAAATTCCAAGATGGAAGCATGTGGCTGGAACGTTGTCGACGTCGAAGACGGCTGCTTTGACATTGGGAGGCTTGTGCGTGTACTCAATGATGCACGGCATTCAACCGAAAAACCAACGTTTATCAACGTGCACACCATCATCGGTCTCGGAAGCGCGGTTGCAGGTGACGCTGCTGCTCACGGTGCGGCGCTGGGCGCTGCCGATGTGGCAAACATGAAGAAAGCCTACGGCTTCGATCCAGAGCAATATTTTGTCATTAGCGAACGAGTGCGCGACTTCTTTGCTGATTTGCCAGGAAAAGGCCAGGAACTAGTTCAGTCGTGGGAAAAGACAGTGGAAGAATACACGGCTAGATATCCAGAGGAAAGTACGGACTTCAAGCGCAGAGTTGAAGGTCGTCTACCCGATGACTGGAAAGACTTGATTCCAGTCTCGCTTCCAGAGACGCCAATTGCGTCAAGGAAATCATCTGGGTTGGTGTTTAATCCGGTTGCGGAGAGGATTAACAACTTCATGGTTGGCACTGCGGATTTGTCGCCATCAGTCAATATGATATGGAAAGGCAAGGTAGACTTTCAACATGTAAGCATCCCTTTGATACATGGCCAGATCATCAACTCACAGCTCATAGCCTAATCTAAAAACTACCTGCGGTATCAATGGGAACTATAGCGGCAGATATATCCACTACGGTGTGCGTGAGCATGCCATGGCCGCTATATCGAACGGCATAGCCGCCTATGCGCCCAACACCTTTGTCCCCGTCACATCCTCCTTCTTCATGTTCTACCTGTATGCAGCACCTGCCGTTCGCATGGGTGCATTACAGCGTCTACAAGTAATTCACGTAGCTGTAAGTGAGACATGGCATACCGGTATACCTCTCCGAACCATAACACCTGCCTGACATTTGTCAGACCCACGACTCCATTGGCACTGGCGAAGATGGCCCCACGCATCAGCCCATTGAGCTCGCCAATCTCTACCGGTCTATGCCTAACCTCTTATACATCCGCCCAGCCGACAGTGAAGAGACAGCCGGCGCATGGATAACCGCCATCGAAGCCAAAGACAAACCCACCATCATATCCACTTCGCGGCACACCCTACCCCAATACAAGCAGACAAGCCGCGCCAAAGTCGCTCAAGGCGCATACGTATTCCAAGAAGTACAAGACGCAGACGTAACGCTCATCGGTGTGGGCGCCGAGCTCAGCCACGCAGTCGATGTAGCTCACGCCCTCAACGCAAAGAATATCAAGACTCGCATCGTCAGCTTTCCCTGCCAGCGACTGTTCGACGCGCAGTCAAGGCAGTATCAGCGCGAGACACTGCAGCGACATCGCGGTATTCCTGCGATTGTGATTGAGCCATTTGCGCCTAATGGCTGGGAGAGGTATGCAGATGCTGCTGCTTGCATGAAGACTTTTGGGCATAGTCTTCCTGGTAAGGCGGCGTATAAATATTTTGGCTTTGATGCTGCTAGTTTGGTGAGGAAAGTAGAATCTTATTTGCAACAGGTACGGGATGACCCGTTGCTCAAGGGGGAATTTGTGGATCTTTGACCGCGCATGGTGGGATCCTGGTGTGCAAGATATACCTATGTGGAGGTTTGTATACCTAACTTGTTGATGAGTATGGTATAAGAAAATAGGTTCGTGGCGGTCACTCGTCTCCTACACTAAATTGACCGTACTGAACCCACGTCAAAGTTTGTTTATGATCGTTCGAAAATTGTGCCAGATTGGTCTTTATTTCCTGGGGGCTGATCATCTAATCAAGGAACGCCGTTCTTAGACTTACCAGTAGGTCATTCTGCATTCTGAATCGGGGTAAAATAAGCATACCATAGTATAGTTAAGCGGCTTTAGAACCTTATAGTTTCCACCCCCTTTTTTTTTCTCCTTTTACTTTCATCTTTCGTCAAAGCATGCATCCACCAAAACGGGAAAGCGAGAATTTAAGTTTCAAAGTTTCGAATGAAACACCGACGTATTGTACTATGATCCCCGCTCCCCTCTCTCGCTTACGGTAAACTACACTTATCGATAACATTCAAAATTTACCCCGGCCAAGCCACATCGGCTCGAGAGCTGTGCTGTAACCGCGAACGCCAACTTGGGCGTGAATTGGAATATTGCACAAATCTGTCATCTTTAGACTGTCTAATCTAACCAAAGGCCGACCCCTTGAGTACTCCACTACAAAGAACACGATACAGGAAATTCACTACAAAATCAGAGTTTAGGGGTTATAAGTCCCCTGGTGGGCATTAGCCAGCACGGCACTGGAGAACAAAAAATACATAACAAGTTCCAATTCGCGGGTCCTGGCACACTAAAAAGCAAAAATGGCATCTCATGATGACCACAATACTATTTTCCTCACAGAACAAGAGACGGAACGAATATGTAAAACGGTCAAAGAAAGGGCAAAACAGTGTTCAGATCAAAGCGGAAATGCACGCAGTCCCAGAGACAAGACCGCTGCCATTCAGCAAGCAACTGGTGCCTCACTCATGGCTGACATGGGAGGTGCTCCGGATCCTGACATGGCGCAGACTCGAGGCCGAGGGGGTGACAGTATACCAGTCCTTGTTGTCGGACAACCGTATTCACCATGCAGACTCTCCTTAGGTGACCTACAGCCAATGAAGCTCGCTGAACTTCGCATGGACACTCACCATCGAGGGCGGCAGCTCCGCATCAAAAGAGTGAGCCCCGTTGTCGATCTTGCGGCTAGATCTTGGGCTATGGTCCAAGACGAAGACGGCGAAGACACGGAGCGGCTGGAAGTGTGTCTGCATAAATTGCGCCATGGAGAAGATATACTCGAATCTAGCAAGCGCTTCGTCATCAAAGACCCTTATTTTACTTTGACTGATCAGGGAGAACCAACACTGAGAATCGACCATCTGTCAGATCTGGTCATTTGCCACGAAGACACACAATCTGACCTCAAAGAAGCCACGGCCGCGGAAAAGGCAGCCGTTGCTTGTAAAAACAGGGGAAATACAGCACTCAAGCAACAAGATCTTCCTCTAGCTCACAAAGAGTACACCAATGGACTCAGCATTGCAAGGCAAGACCTCGTATCAGAAAAGAATCCAGATCTTGCAAGGGACATATCTCGCAACCGCGCCTACATCAACCTCCTATTAGAATCGTACGACGAAGCCATCACAGACGCACAGGCCTCGCTTACTGGACGAGAGGACCAACGATCAAAAGAACTCGACGGCAAAGCGCAGTATCGCGCTGGCTGTGCAGCATATAATCTAGGCAACTACGAGCAAGCCAAGCGGTTCTTCGAGGCACAACAAAATCTCTCTCCCGACGACAAAGACGCAAAAAAGGAACTGAAACGAATTGAAAAGCGGATGCTCGAGGCGGAAACCGGCTCCTACGACCTCATCAAGATCCGAAGCACTCTTTCCCCAAAGCACCCACGTGTAGACGCCGCCACTTTCACCATAAACACTGAAATCAAAGACAGCCCTGGACGCGGCCGCGGTCTTTTCGCCACTCGCGACTTGCGCGCCGGAGAAATCATCATGGGCGAGAAGCCGCTATGCGTGGTGTGGGGTCACGAAAGCGAGGCCTTCACCGCCATGACCTACGACCTGCGCGACGACAAGATCCGCTTCTCCCCCGTCGGTCTCACAAAAGCCATTGTGCAAAAATTGCACAGCAATCCCTCGCTGATCAAACCCGTCATGCAACTCTACTCCGACTGGCAAGACGATGGCGAAACAGCACCCGAGCAGACTGCCCAAGGCCCCATCGTCGACGTCTTCCGTGTCCACGACATCATGTCCCGCAATGCGTTCCACCCTGGTAACCAATTTGGGCACGATACGGCGCGGACCCCTAGCACAGGTCTCTGGGTGCATGCCGCATATGTGAACCACTCGTGCGTGGCCAACGCCAAAAAGGAGTATTTCGGAGACTTGATGCTGCTGCGCGCCACGGCACCCATCAAGCAAGGCGAGGAGATCTTCCACTGCTACCAGGACGCGCTGAACTATGAGGCGCGGCAGGCAGCGCTGTTGACAACATGGGGGTTTGACTGTGGGTGTGGGCTTTGTGTGGCGGAGAGGGCGGATGGGAAAGAGCTGAGGGATAAGCGCATGCAGCTTGCGGGGGAGGCCGACGCGTTTGTAGAGAAGACAGCTTGGGCTGGGGCAAAGAGATTGGCTATTAGAAAGGCGCAGCGGCTGGCACAGGCAATTGAGGAGACCTATGATGCGGAGAGGTATAGGGGTTTGCCGAAGAGACATGGGGAGAAGATTCATGCATGGGTTTCAAAGGCAAGTCCACGATGAGGGGGGACTGACTGGAACATATTGACTTGTGGGAAGTGATTGATTACATCAAAATATTCAAACGTATATTGAAAGCAGAGTCATATATTGTGGTATCTTCTACCTTTAGTATTCTATTTAATCCCAGCGCTACACCCGCACACTGCTAACTATGTGACAACCCCAACACCCTCAAATATGGCAAATACGCTCTTTACCACATGCATATGTACACACATCCTAGCAAGGACTAAGAAGAAGTCGCATTCTCAAATGAGATATCAACCCAAATTAATCTGGATTGGGAATTAAATCTGGATTGTGGCGCTGGGATATGGCGCTGCAGATTGATTTTCTGCATAGATGTGTGCATGTGTATGTGAAGAAGGGGTTATGATATTATGTATTGCTAATTAGATAATATGTTTGATTCCAATCCCTGTCCTCAAGTATCATGAAATCTTCTCACTTGCCAGCATAAGAATTACTCAACTCCCCATCTCTTCAAATCCCATCCATATATCCAGCTTAGCCACCCAAAAGGGCCCTCATACCGCGTACTTCCTCAACGCCGGCTCCGTAATCCTCCGCTCCTGACTGGCCGCCAACAACACCGCGGCCACAGGAATCAGCCCCAACGTAGCCAGCACATCGTCCAGGTCCAACCCAGGCGCCACCAGCCTCCCACAAACCTCCTTGACATTGATTCTCTCCAACTTGCCCACGCCCCCATACATCAATGCATCCACAACCAACGCCCACGTCAGCGGATGAAACAGCACGCCCGCATGATCGTAGAAGCCCGAACCCGGCTGCCCTGCACATACGCTCTGGACCTCGTTGTTCGAGACGCCGACGCCGCGCACGTCGGAGAGGAAGGCGCTTGCGTTGGGGCCAGATTGGGGCTGTACGATTTCGTCAAACAAGGCACTGTAGAAAGTTGTGGTGGGGACATAGGCGGAGCTGCCGTCGTTGCTGCGCATGGCGGCGATGAATTTGGAGGTTGCTTCTTGCTGGATGACGGAGGCCGGGCAGAGCGGGTTGAGTGCTAGTTTGGTGTTTGGACTGAGGCAGAGGGCGTTGGCGAGAACTGTCCCTTTGAAGTCTGGGCTGATGGCTAGGAAACTGCGGATGATTATGCGGGTGCTGGGCCAGAATTTCAGAACCCATTGCGTGTCAAGGCTGCCTTGGGACCAGGCGATGATGCTGATTTTCTTCTGCTGGGATATGGACGAGAGATAGTGAATGGCGTAGGCAATGTATTCGCTATTTGTTTGGGCGTCGCCCAACATAGCGTTGGGGATATTGAGCCAGACAGGGTCGGCGTAGTCTTTTCCGGTCAGCAGTTTACGGAGATTAGGGCCAAAGTTGGAGCCGCCGTAGGCTCCTGTGCCGGGGACGAAGAGAACTGGATTCTTCTTCCCGTATGTGAAGCCTGGAGGAATGAAAAGCGCTTGACGGAGAGCGGCCTCGGAAAGCGTGTAGGGAGCATCTATACTGGCTTTTTTCGGGTAAATGGTCATGGCGGGGGGTAAATTGTTATTGATCACGCTGTTTTCACCCGCAGGAAGAGCACCGGTGAGAGCAGCGCTGAATGTGTTGTCGAGAATGAGACCATTGGCAACTTGAGTTGCAACAGCCCCAAAGAAGTCTGTTCGAGCTTCTGACGCCCAGATTGCAGATTCCTCCGCGAGGGCATTTGGTATGTCTGTGGGTCGGGCAATGGGTTTGATATCTCCCAGAGCGGAGAGCAGGGCAGAAGGGTTACCTGCCGCGACTGCAGAGTTTACATCGCTGAGGAGTCCATTCAAGCCGTTGAAAAGTCCACTAATGAGTTGACGCTCTTGTATCGGTGTGACGTCTTGCGGAAGTGGAACTGGGACTGGGGCAGGAGCAGCCAGCGATAGAGACAGCAGACTCAGCAAAGTCAGCGAATTAATTTTGGAGTGCATCTTGGGAGCGAATCGTGAGTTATAAGCGTAGTCGGAATAAACAATGTCGAACAATGCGGAGACAATATAGCTTTTCAACTCAATGGTGTCGAATTCCCGCATGCACAACCTCAGGCGGCCAGGCTCCTTTTATAATCTCGGTCGACTGATTTTCAACCGCCGAGCAAGCAAATCCTGGGAATCTAAGCGTTAGCAGCGATCGAATTCGATGGCGCTGCAGATCAAAAACACTAACGCGTAGATGGTTCCTAACGATTAATCCCAAAAAGAGCTAGATAAACCAAACATTAAATATGCGGACGTGGCGCATCGGTTCCAAACCTACCAACATAACAAGAAACCTAGTCTTCGGTTCCCGTAAAATCTAGGATGCAGTCCTAATTTGCATAAAGTTTCATGTTTTGGTCCATGAGAGTAGCTTGGACTAGTCGTAGCATTCATCATATTCATCCATTACGTGCTGCTTGATCCGCTGCTTCCCACTTACCACACTGAAGTAGCATAGATGATAGCATAGGCCTGCTACACCGTATAAACCTTACCATATTTCTCCTTCTGACTCGTAGCAGGCTTCCACTCAAAGTGATGTTTCCCCTCCATCGGCTGCTTGACCTGCCGATCTGCATCACCCTTCTTGTCAAACATGTGACTGCCGAAATAATCCAACTCAGCTTCGTAAAACGCCGTGGGTAAATCGGTGCCCGTGGAGATTTTGAAGTACTCGAGTGTTGCGGCCATGGCTGGCGCGACTTGATCCGTCTCGACTGCTTTGGCGACGACGCGGCGGAGGGCTGGGAAGCAATTTTGTACATTTTCTACGACTCTAGATGAGAAGTGGAGGTTCAGGTCTTCAGATGTAGGGTTAGATTGTAAAATCGGAGCAAGAATCTCATCAGAGATGTAGTCGGCTTGAATGATGCAGCCTGCGCGCCAGATTTGCCAAACTTGGGAGTAGTCAATGTTCCATGCATGAGCGCGGTCGGCTTTGGCGATGATGTCGAAGCCCTGAATGTAGCTGGCGAGACAGGTGGCATAGGTTGCTTTTCGAAGGTCTTCAATGAAGCCCTTTTGATTTGGAATATCGAGCTTGGCCGGGGGGAATCCACCAGCATACATCTTATTGGCCTTTTCTCGGTCGCCACGGTAGGCTGATGCGAGACGTAGCGCGTGGGCTGTGTTGAGCGTGAATGCTGGGACGTGTAGCTCGATGGCTTCCGTGTTGGACCATATGCCAGTCCCTTCCTCGCCAGTGATATCCTGAACTACCTTGTCTAGTACCTCAGAGATGACAAGAGGATGATTCCTGTCACATTTCGCTACCGAAGTAGTGTCTTGCTGGCTTGTATCCGAATCTTCATGTTTGTGCGAGAGGTCGGCGCCAATAGATATGAGAAATGTACTCCTCTGAAAATTGGTTTTAGCGAGTGTCGCATGTAAATGAGCCAACTGAACAAGACTTACGAGTTCACCTTGCGAGTCCCAGTCCTTGAATACATTCCCAATCTGCTCATAGCCCATGCCCATGTTGCGCATCATGCCCCACGCCTCACAGATGGCACTCATCATGCCGTGCTCAATACCATTGTGTACCATCTTTACATAGTGCCCTGCCCCACCTTTACCTATAATACCAACACAAGGGTTTCCATTCTTGTCTTTTGCTGCCACATGTTTCAACAGTGGCAAAACATGTTCGAGTGCAGATCGGTCGCCGCCTGGACACATGGAGGGACCAGCTCTAGCGGCCTGATAGCCTCCACTGACACCACAGCCAATGTAGTGGATGCCTGTGCTCCTAGCCTTTTCTTGTCGTCGCTCGGTGTTGGCAAAGTGTTCGTTGCCACAGTCCAGGATAATGTCGTTGCGGGAGAGATGAGGCATCAGTCCATCGAGAACCTTGTCACCAACATTGCCATGGGGTAGAGAAAAGACAAGCAGGCGCGGTGAAGACAGTGATTTGCAGAGTGAGTCGTAATCTTGTTGATGTATCAATGCCCGATACTATATTTTGGATGGAATCTGACCGTACCACTGTATTTTTGTAGTCTACCCCTGTATCCAGCCTCTTCGCCCTTTGCAATGACTTGATCCATGGCCTGGTCCGAGGGATCTGAAAGTGAGACATGGACGCCATCTTCTGCAAAGAGCAGTGCCATGCCACCACCCATGCTTCCACAGCCAATCATAGCAATCTTGGTTAATCAGACTTTGTAAGACATGGAGAGGTGGGTGATCGTACTGTACTGAATGTTGCCATGGTGCTAGCGTGTGGTCACAGATTCTAAGTCACGGCGGGAACGGGAAGAGACGAGCAAAGAAGAGGCGAGGATAGCAATGTACAAGAATGCACAACAAGAGAGGGGAGCCAGGGAGCCGTCGATTTGGAAGAAGAGTTTGTTCACGTAGTTCGACATGTCTATGAGGAAATTTACCATGTGCGATGATGGACGGATGATGGACGAAAGGGTGACGTCGATGGGGGGGTGGGAGGGGGTTTTGCACAGTCCAACAACAACCCCCACATGAGTCGATCCACTGTTTGGTAGAGACGAGTTAGGTGCGATCATCTTGGCCACTCTCATTCTTGCAGTCGTGCTTGAGGCATTCAATACAGGACAGGCCGCTGTGGTCAGCACTGAATGCGAAGAACGAGGCTTGGTACTAAGGTGAGAGGCTGAGAGGCTTGGCGGGGCAGATGCGAAAAAGGGAAAGCGCAGACGGGAAAGTCTTGGCAACAGGACCCCACACAAGTACTTACCTAGGTAGCAGACAGGCAGTTACCTCCCCTACCTAATCCGTATACAAACCACTCTACACAGTATATCAACAGCCACAATCACAACCCCCCGTCGCAGCCATGGCCGACGCAGAAATGGACATTGACCAGCCGGAGCAACAGCAGCAGCAGTCTCTGTCAGCCGACACCACTCAAGCCAGCGACGCGCGCACTGCAGCCGGCGCGACAGCCGTCCGCTCCATCGAAGGCTGGATCATCATCGTCACCAACGTGCACGAGGAAGCAACGGAAGAAGACGTGCAAGACCTCTTTGGCGAATTCGGCACCATCAAGAACCTCCACATGAATTTGGACCGCAGAACCGGCTATGTCAAGGTATGTGTTTGTTATGTCCATCGACAACCAGAGAAAAAAAAAAACAAAAAGACCACGCAGACTACAGCAAGACCAGCATCTTATTTCATTTTCCTTGCTCTTTCTCTAACAATCCATGCCAACAGGGCTACGCACTGATCGAATTCCCCACCATGGACGAAGCCAAAGCCGCCATCAAAGGCGCAAACGGCCAAGAGCTCCTCGAACAGAAAATCACTGTCGACTTCGCCTTTGTGCGCCCGCCGCCTGCCGCCAAGAGCCGTGCGCGCGATCACGACCGCAGACAGAGTGGGCGTGGTGCGGGCCGGGCGAGGAGCAGGAGTCCGGGGCGCGATCAGGAAGAGGACATGGATGATTAAGCTGCTTTTGTTGGAAAAGAGGGGACGGGAAGGTTTTGAAGACAGACTGTAGGTTGTATGCGCCGCGGGTTACCGGCTACCTATGTCTTGCGCATGCGCGGGCCGGGCCATCTTTGGTATTGGGGGTGACTACTATCGCAAGCCCAGCCCAGCCCAGCCCATAGCTCAGCTCAGCTCAGCTCAGCTCACTCAGCTCAGCTCAGCTCAGTCCCAGCGTACTCGACTGCGATAATAGATCACCGGCCTGTATTCTGCTATGAGACAGGTCGGGCTTACACATGCCCACTGTAAGTAGGACTCTAGTCACGCAGTCAAGGCTTCAAGCACAGCACCCTCTAACATGTTCGCAGCTTCATATATATCTACACCTTATTGTCGCACCTGATGTGAACCATGTCTGAAACCAAAAACTGACTCGAAGAGTAACGTTTACTGTACTGTACCCTTTGCGACCTATAAAGCATCCAGACTTTTTACCTCATACCTGGCGCGCTCCAGCATACCAACACTCTCGACGTCTAAAGCTCAACATGGCTCCCTTTTTGCCTATCAAATTCTGCAGAGAAGAAGAAAACATCATCAGCATATCATTTCACAACAAGGAGGAACCGAGGGAAAACTCACCATCCAACCAGTCGACGACGAAATTCTTCAGGTACTGCTGGGCATATACGACCTGGGGCGGCGGAATCTCCTTGGTCGTCTCATTTTCAAACACGCCATTCTCCTCCCAATGATGGACCCCATGGCTAATCATCAACCACGGCTCGCTCGTCGACGTATTCCGTGCCTCGGGATACCAAAGAGGCGTCGCAGGCCGCCAGGGATCCGCGTTGCCGCCAATATGCGCAAGCCGCTCGTAGGCAATACTATAATTCCCGTATTTGTTGACGCGATCAATGTCCGGCGGGGTCGTCAGGTTGAATTGTGCGCGGCAGAAGAAAGTTAGGTAGTCTAGATCAAGAGTGCGGGAGATGAGGGGCATGAGGTCGGGTGGCGTGTTGCCCGTTTGGATGTAACCCCATTCCGTGCAGACTTGGTACGGCCAGCTGGTTGCGGCATAGTCTTGGAGCGTGGTGTAGGACTGGAGGGCTGTAGCGTTGAGGGTGGTGAAGTACGCGTTTTGCGTGCGGTTCGAGGCTCGTTGCGAAGCGAGTGCCGTGCGGTTGAGCCAGGTGATGGCGTTGAGGGTGATGTTTTGCACAAGGCTATTGTTCGTGTAGCCAGCAGTATCAACGAGGGCGGCGACGGCCGGGCGGAGGTTTTCACCTTGGGGTTCCGCAAAGGTGATGTTTTGGCAGTAGTTGAAGAAAGAGCCCGAGTTCTCGGCTGGATCCCAGTTTGTGTTTTGAAGACCATAGACGCCGGTGATTTGACCTGCAAAGTCGCGGTTGTCAAGAACGTCGGGCATGCCAAAGACGTCCTTGAGTGCCTGAACTTGGGCCGTGTCGTTTTGACGGATCAAGATACCGTCGATGACATCAATCAGGATCTGAGTGTTTTTGATGCAGTCGGGTGGGCCATAGAGCCGGGCGGGCTCGAAATACTGCCAGTAGTCGTAAATGGCCACCGTCACTCCAGAAGAGGAGATGGCACCCCAAAAAGTGTCTGGATAGACGACCCTCACAAAGGCCGCCTGGGCTCCAGCGTACGAGCCTCCATAGACGATCCACGGTGTGTTAGGCGCAGTCAGATCTGCATCGATGCCCGTGAATTTCACATGGCGGGCAAAGTAGTCAATCTCAGCGAGCGACTGCTCCGTCGTCAAAAATCGCATGTTCTTGGTCGTAAGATCGGGAACCGGGAAACTCTTTCCATAGTATCGATGCTCGAGAATGACGCCCAGACCGCCAGTGGCCTTGATGACCTGGTGGACGATGCCTTTTTGCAAGAAGGGGAGACGACCCTCTCCATCAGTCTCTCCGCCGAGAAGGACGAAGACGGGTCCTCCTGGCTTGTAGTAGGTAGCATCGAACCAGTATCTCAGGTCGAAAGTCCCATTCTCGTGGGGCTCGTATCGCGTCTCGTTGTGGAAGAAGTCAATTGGGACGGAAAGGTTGCGCTCAGGGTAAAGAAGAGTTAGGTCCAATTCCTCATCGGCACGCTTGTACAGACTGCGTTTTGACCGTGTAGCTGCGACCTCATTCTCCCTCTCCACTGCAGTCCGAGGAAGGATGCGCAAAGCAACCACCTGAAGACCGCACAGCAACCCTGCAACAGCAAATGTAAACCGCATGTCGTCTCGCCAGCTACAACACACAGAATAGAGAGAAGAGGCGCGCACGCATGCGGGCAGACAGCCAGGCTACTAAATACCCAGCCCAGCCTCACGTAACACCCCAAGCAACCGTCCCAAAACTGGAATTCGAACCACGGCGGAACAACGAAGACGACTTAGTACTGTAGTAGTCGAAGTAGCCTGGTCGATCCATGATTGCGGAAGGTGGATAAGGTAGCCCGCTGCAAACACAATAGTGCGAGCGGTGAAGCCAGGCTCAAACGAGCAGGAGGCTTGAGCGATCGGCAGCCATGGACAGCGGGTGTGCAGCAAGCGTTTGCGTTTGCAAGGGGTTCGTATATCGATAGGATACGAGGGGCTTGTGTCGTCGATGTGGGATGGGGGCTTGAGAGGATTGTAGGACAGCAGAGACTTGTGGACAGAGTGTACCATCGATGATTTTCGTGTTGTCGTAGGTACTTGTGATTGTGGTTGGAGATGATGACGTGTGAGGGGTAAGTTAGGTCGGTCAAGTACTGTACTAGTACTACCACCACCACCTACTACCTACACCATGGCCATGGCCACGCATCTCACACGACTCTAGATGAAAAGACTCTTGAATGTTGCAATCAGCACATCAGCAGCTGTGATTTGTTGTTTCTCACTTTTTCAGATGGCCTGTTGCCACCAAAAAGCGATACAAGGCCTGTGTCGACAAAACAAGTGATTATCAAGGCAACGCAGCCCCCAAACACTACATACTCTTGAGTACATTGAAAGCCGGCATTGCGGCGGCATATCAGGTTCAGATTCATCCCGAGACTCTTGGCTTACCACTTGCTCGGCACTCGCCACTGAAACTCCAGCACGACAAACAGAGCGACGTGTCGCACATTGCCAGGAACAAAATGTAAAGTCGAGAATATTTCGACCCTAGTACAACTAACTACATCAACATGTCTGAGTCGGCCGCTAAGACCATCCAGCTTCACAAGCGTTGGTCTTGTCGCCCAGACGGATGCTCTTGTGTGTCGCCTTGATTCAACGACCATCCTTGTCTAAGAATCGAACAATCAATGAGTATCCTTCTACCCTTTCCCAATCCTCAACCTAGATTCAACTCTTTTCTGGCTTCTCAATCCAGCCTGCAACCGATTTTCTACACGGCAATGTGTAGACTACAAGACTACTAGAGTATGCACATGGTTGAATCGTTTCGAGGATCTCACGTTGCGATGTTCGCCTGAAAGGATAGTTATTACCTAACCTTATGTGCTCTTACATCCAAGATTTACGCCGAAGCCTGTCTTCTGGGAATGAGGCAGGATGAACCATGGCAGAAACCTGCTGCAGCGGATGAGGCTCATCTAGTATCTTCGGCAGCTCCAAAGATCGACACGATCATCACCCAACAGAGCAGGCTCGGGTGCATCATCGCAACAACGTCAAAGTGGAGGCGATCTAGGCCACGATCTGCAGCAACACATTCGACCAAAGATGATCAAGTTTGCTGCAAGATGTGTTTACACAGCCCCCTTCTTGGCACTGCGAATACCACAGCTCAATTTCATGCGAAAGCGACAAGCGAAGTTCAAATGTAAATGTATTTAGTACATTCGTCTACACGTTGACTACTCCTACTCTGTACCCATTGCTGGCGTTGGACCTCTGACAATCAATGGTTCCAGAAGTCTGTTCACTCTACCAATTTGCCGGCGAAGGGAATACTCCCTACCCTTTCTCCATTCAAGACTACCAGCGCTACGTCTATGGCGACGATAAGCGAGCGCACCAATTCGGCACGGACCTCGCTAAAGCCTTCATCGCAACACGGACAAGCAATCAGAGCTTCACACACGACATCGCCGTTGCCGTGTTATCCGACTCTATTCCAACGGCCACTCATGGCCTGCGCAGGCATTTCGTTGCCTATCTCAATCGGCATTTGATCTCGCTTAATGCTAGGCCAGTCCTCACCATCGATGTCTTCTCAGTGGGACAAGATGCGGGTGTACTACAGGACGTGACGAAAGAAAACAGCAAGGACCTATATCACATCGATGTCACGAGGTTGGCTGGAAGGAGTCTGATTGTCCTGGGTGACATTCGCACAGCCCATACCCGTGAAGACCACATGACCCAATCACTGCGGAACCTCAACCTCGACAACCCAATAGTCTTTGCTTACATTGCAGCTGTAGAGGGATTGCAGCACACCGCAGGACTCACTTCGCTGATGGCATTAATCGTCGGTCCTACCATTAAGGACATTGAGACAATTGCCCAGGCCGCCAACTTCACGATGAACCAGTCCTTTGTCCACTATCTCCTCGGAAGAGACTATGCAGGTTTCTGTTCCTTTGTTCGACGCCAGGACGACTTCTTTGCACGGCTTCTACTTGACTATGCAATTGCAGGACTGTACTACAACGACGAGGACTATAGACAAAATTTTGACTTTCTGCTATGGGAAGTCGAAGCTCGAGAAAGCGTTTAAGACTGAGACATACGATCTGCGACTACAATTTGCAGTCAGTATGCATGTTCAAATTCGTTTTCTTACAGAGGACTTTTCGTAGGTCTACTACAAGAACAAAGGTCTAAACATACATGGCTTGTGTTGTGTTCTCCAAATTATCCTTGCCCGTGGAACTTCACCTCTACTGCCCGCGCTCATCTATTTCCAGCGAAAAACCTCCAAATCCGTATATTCACAAACGCAAAGCAATCCATGCCAAACACCTCTCTATCTTTCTCTGTGTTGCTCGTGTTTACCTACCGCATCCTTTGTCATCCCAGATGCGGAAACCTCCCCATCTTTCTTTGTCCTGCAGTCTTCATATAATCACCAAACATCGCCCAGGCACTTCTTACCCAACACAAGAAACAACATTTTGTTCCTGGATTCTCAAAATCATACATTACACACAATGCTTGCCCTGTCTTACGCCGTGCAGATGTCTTCACGGGCTCAAGCACGGAGACACCGGGTTATACAACGTCGAACTGACCTCGCATTTCTCGACGAATGGAACAGCACCAGCAACAGTGAGATCAATGGTGCGAATGGGCATTCGTATAGCTCAAGGCCTTTGACAAAAAGGTCAACAGGTGGAGAAGGCTGGACAGACTTATCACAGCCGGAACCACGGTCAAGAAGCCAGCAAAAGCTTCGCGATGCGTCTTTGCATGACCACTTTGTAGGGCCATTATCTATCCTTCACCCGCATTCCTCAATAATTTCCTAATCTATTTGTTAGATCCTAGCCGGAGCACTGTTCCTCACAGATGTCGTGGGAGGCTATGTTTGCTGGAAAATCATACCATGGATAGTATTTCTTGTTGCTAGATTCCCGTTCATCTCCGTGCTTCTGATAGCGATATGGGTTCTTCGGCGTATGAAGGCGGTGACGCCTATTATGAGGGATGATAGCGTCAGCTCCGAGCTGCACAACGGGGAGCAGGCTCTCAGCCATCTGGCCATGTCCATCTCCTCAGTAAACATTTCCCTTCCGCCAACTAGCTCGGAACAAGCATCTAACACAAGCTGTAGTCCAGGTTAATCCTCGTCCTCCTCATGAACGCATGTATCGGCTATGTTGTCTTGAAAAATTCCACGTTGACTCTCGGGTTGGGGAATATCACTGGTCTAATGGGTAGAAGCCTCCCGGCGATAATCGATTATCCACGCACTGCCATTGGGTTGCTTGCTGTCATTGCCGCTGCAGTCACTAACCCTGGGATATTCACTGTACAAGAAAACCGGGAAAATGAGCCAGAATATCTAAACCGCCCAGGTGATATTTATGACGACGAAACCTCTGAACTCGATAGCTCGGACGAATACAACGACAACGACATCTATTCGCTCAATGGCCCATATGGCAACACCAGATATCTGCCTCCAACACCACCCAGAGGTCTTCGCCACGCCCAGGCCCCTAGACCTAGACCAACCGCTCCCCTGGCCCCCAGATCCCCACGTCCCTCTGGAGGTCCTACAGCCACACCTTCAGGACCACGCCTGAGAAGACCCCGCCACATCCCTTTCCGAGTCCACACGCCGTTCTCCCTCCTCCAACCCTCCACCTGGCGCCCCAAAGATGACTGGACCCACTGCCCCCCGTCCTACATCCCCGTCCGCCACTCCACCTGGCTCTGTCTCCGCCAAACCCAATCACGCTTCTGGGCCGCGCGCCGTGCCGACCTCGCATGCATTGCACTGTGGATGTGGGAGTGCATCAAATTCCAGCGCAACGTCATCACCGCCTTATTTGTCATCGACCTCGTGACGGCCGCGAGTTGGGGCCAGCCAATGCAGTATCGCTGGTTCCCCCGCAACGCGAGGCAGATTCGTGGGCTGGTTTGGCTGGATAGGGAGGTCCCTGGGCATGCGTTTGTTTTGGATGTTTTTGAATTTTGGAAGGGGTGGGTGGTTGGGCTGGGAAAGGTCTTCCTTTGGAAGTTGCCGAAGTGGGTTTTGGGGGGTTTGGTGAGCTGGCTGGTGCCGACGGTGGCGAGTGTGAGGGAGGAGGAGGTGCAGGAGAAGAATTGGACGCGGACGAAGAAGGGGTAATGGGTTCGCGTGGTATGGTGTTTGATGGGTCATGATTCTCTGTGCTGTGCTTTGAATTTCTTTAGCTGATAGATTGGACAATGTGTGTGAATTGCCTGGATGACGCTGGCTCTATTGACACAAACGAAGGACTTGGACTCGACACACTGTGACTACAACACGTAAAGTCCTTGGAAGAAAGTACATATACGCCTTGGATTAATGATTCGAAAGCTTTGTAAATCTCTACTCGGTTCACCAACCATACAACCCCTATTTGCGCAAAAGATAACGAAAAATGCATCTCACGTGTCTCATCCCCACCCTACTAACCCTTACCTCCCTCGCAAAATCCCACTCATGGCTCCACTGTACCGCCCATAACAACACCGGCATCCTTGCCGACATGAAAGCTGCCTCCCTCGAGGACCCCCCGCGCACAATCGATTCCCTCTCCACCTCCCCAAAAGATCCAACCCCCAACTCCTCCCCCAAAACAAAGCGGCCCTGGTTCAGAAACCTCTAGCACGGCTGGATCAGCTCCGAGCAAAACCCCAGAGACTGGGTCGATGAATCCATAAACTATCTCTGGGATCTGCGCGGCAATACGGACACCCACGCATGTCACCCGACCCAGTGTAACCCCATCCAATACCTCTCCTCATCCTCCTCCTCCGCCAGCCTCGCAAACCAAGAGAACCCCGCGCCCATGGCCAGTGCGCACGCCGGCGACTCGATCAAGCTGTTATTTGGCGGCAACGGGCACTCGCGCGCTGATTTCGGAGGTGTGAGGACAGGGGATGCAGGGCGTGTGGCCGTGTACTGGAAGGGGGAAAAGGAGCGTGAGATTGTGGATGTGGCGGAGTATACAGAGGAGAATAAGGTACAGGAGAATGGGTTTTCGGAGGAGAGTTTTGCGTATCCGGAGGATGAGGGGGTGGTTAGTCCGCCCGAGTTGCAGGATAAGGGGAATTAGATGACGTTGAGGTTGTGAGTGGAGTGGAATTGCGTGTGGGTGGTGGAGAGTGTGCTGACGGTGTGTAGGCCTCAGTGTATGGAAGCGGGTCATCACATGATGGTTTGGGTTTGATATACTACTGGGAAGCCGGCGTATTCGACGTGCTTTGATGTTATGATACAGTAGCTGTGTTTGCAGACGTATCTATGCGTTTTCCATAAGTCTTTCATTCAAGTGGTGTTGACTCCCATTATCTTGATCATTCAAGGCCGGCGTAACATGACCTTGGCCTTCTCAAAGATATAAGTGACTCCTACACCAAGCAAATCTCGAGACGAAATTACTTTTCCTGAACATGCCTTCTGTGGAATGGTTCCATTACGAATCATTGTAGCACCGTTGGCATTCATCTATCATCTCAACCCATTAGTCTCAAAATCGAGCCGCTCGTTGACCAGAAGAAGTTCCTGCTTCCCCTTTAGCATGTGCATTTGCTGCACTTTCATGAATCAGTTTCAGCGGCCTATATTCTGCATCCCACATCTGCTCCCGAATCCACTCTTCCAGGTCATCGTCGTCTGTGGGGATATCTTTGATATGCGCAAGATCATCCTTGACCGCCTGCTTGATGACGTTCCGCGCAATTTGAACACTAATATCGCGCACATCTTCAACATCAGGCAGCAAACCTGCGCCAGAGCCTTTGACTACAGGCGCTGTTGACGCGAGAGCTTGCACAGCGGCAACGAGAAGCGCAGGCGTCACTAGGCGTGTACGACTGAGCACTGCGCCAAGACCAATTCCAGGAAAGGTAACTGAGTTATTGCATTCAGCTAGCCACGTTAGTGAACAAGAAAACGGTCACGCCCTCTTGGTGACTTACAAATGTCATACTCCTTGCCGTTATACTTCACCGGGTCGAATGGAGAGCCGGTCGCCACCAACACTTTGCCGTCCGTCCAGTCGTACAAATCCTGCGGCTTTGCCTCGTGGAGCCTCGTTGGGTTCGAAAGTGGGAATATAACTGGGCGTTCGATATGCTTGGCCATCTCGCGAACAATCTCCTCGGTGAACGCTCCAGGCTTCGTTGAAGTGCCGATGAGCACGTGTGGCTTGACTTCTTTCACGACCGAGAGAAGATCACCGTGTTCCTTACCTTCCCACTCCTTATCATCTCTAGCATATGCCATCTGAGCTGGTGTGAGCTCGTCTTTCTTGCCTTTCAATAGCAGTCCGGGCTTATCGACACACCTAAAGGACAGGTTACACTCATCGTAAATCGTAGCACGTCACACAATCTGACCTACCATATTTGATGTCCTGCGTCCTCTCTCGATTTCCCGGTATTTTGCGATATTGCATCTTTGATCTGGTCTGCAATGCCAGTGCCTGCTGATCCCGACCCGAACATGACAAAGCGAGCCTCGTCCCACTTAGTCCCGCTGACCTTAAAGGCGGCCATAATTGCTGCTAGGGTTACGCAGCCTGTGCCTTGCACATCATCGTTGAAGCAAGCGATTTTTGGCGTGTACTTATCCAGGATACGCCTTGCGTTGTTGAGTCCGAAGTCTTCGAAATGTATGTATGCGTTGGGGTATCGCTTCCTGCATGCGCTCACGAACTTGTCCACAAAGCTGTCGTACTCTTTTCCGGTCACGCGTGCCTTACGCAAGCCAAGGTACAGGTCATCTTCGAGTAGTTCTTTATTCTAACTTGTTTAGTGCATGGAATATAAGTCGACGCTGTTGATACTTACATCAGTCCCACAGTCAAGGACAACTGGGAGCGTACGAGAGGGGTGGATTCCGGCACATAGCGTGTAAATGACCAATTTGGCTACTGATATCAATATCGCACCGACACCTTGATCGCCTATGCCCAGAATTTGCTGTCCGTCGCTCACAACTATGACATCGATATCCTCTGGGTTGCCCCACTGGTTGATGTCATCCTCGATCCGATCGGCGTCGTCAATGTTCAAGAAGCATCCCTCAGGCCTGCGGAATAATCTTGAGTAGTCGGCAATGGCCTCGCCTTCGGTGGGTGTGTAGATGACGGGAAACATTTCTTTGAGATGGTCAAGGATAAGCTAGAACGTTTATTAGCCCAAGAATACGCATATACGCATGCTTTCTTCCTACGCGGTAGTAGAGCACCTCATTTTGCTCTTTGAGGCTGCTCATGAACGTGTTTTTTGCTAAATCATTTGGTCGTGACCTGTACTGGGCGTAGGCGCGCTTAGCTTGTTCTTCGAGTGTCTGAACATTTGTTGGAAGCAGGCCGTGAAGCTTAAAAGTACTACGTTCTTCCTTGGTGAAGGCAGAGCCCTTGTTGAAATAAGGTGTACGCAGAAGTGCGTTTCCCTAGAATAATTAGCCTAAAGTATGACAACATCATAACAATAAGTGGTTGTACAGTTAAACTTGTCTCCTGAGGCCCAGATGTCGACAGCGGTAAGTGTCCAAATCTCATGTTTTTCTGCTTTTTGGTATCAGGAGACATGGTTCCGATGCACTGCTGGCTGAGGAGCGGGGTTGAAACGCCTGCGTTATTTGAATTGTAATCTCAGCTTCCGCTTGAATGAATAGACTATGAATGCGCGATTAGTTGAGGAATGAAAAATTAAGGCATGTTACTGTCGAGGTCTGCTTCTCATGTTGCCAGAATATATGAGGGTCCATTACTTAGAGCAAGACGACTCTTGCGGCATGATGACGTCGTTTCCATTGACTAGCATCCACATGTTTCGTCAACGAATTGGGAGAGTTGCTGTAACCTCACACATGCAGACTACCGGTACAATGCGCTTTATGTGACTAAGCTATTGCAGCTTGCGTGCTTCCTCACCTGAGCGCTGAAGTGCTCCATCCAAGTCGTCAGTAGTTACTTGGTACCGATAGACTTGGTAGAGTTTAGCCGCAGTTGATCTACGTGCTGTAGACTATCGTACTCTGCAAACTACGATGTCTTATCATTCTGACTTCAAAGACACAGGCTCCAATCTTTCAACTCCGTCCAGCCTTGATCTGTCAAAGACCTAATGTATTTCCTGGACGATGTACTTTAGGCCTTTCACTGAATTCACCCCAACATGGACCCTGTCGATCAGCACTGGCCCCACCATATCAACATCCGTGGGGTAACTTGACCAGCAGCCAGGGTTTACCATGCACTCGACGGTCCATCAGAACCATTGCCAGCATAGCATGTAGTCGGCATGTATTCGGCATGTACTGCACATCGACTCACATGCTACAGATAACAGCGCGTCGGCCCTAAGCAAACCCCAGGCGATCGCCGCCTCCTAGTGGCATTCTTATCAACTCTTAACCAGGAAGCCTATCTCTGCGACAGCATGCGAACACACTGCGGCACGGTAGGTAGATGATCGGCATAAATTCAAACAAGACAATTCGTTGAAAAAGTTGGAGTAGTTGGAGGCGTGTATCGCATGGCATCTCCAACTGCGATACCGTACTGCCATCTCGATTGTGACTGACCTAGGTACATCTATGTGCGTCCAGGGGCATGTACGACATGGCATATAGCCTTGAACGCGACGCTGGGACGCCTGGGTTGCGAAAATCAAGATATTGATTTTTTTTTTGCCTGGGAACTCGAGATGGCAGATACGGCTGTGACACCGCTACCAGTAGGGGCTGGCTATGGTAAGTTGGTCTCACTATGATGGAAGAGTCTGGCAATACCGGCAGTGGCAACTGACCAGAACCAGGCGTCGTCGTTGGCATTGGATTCTTCTTTGCCTTTTTGATGATGGGCATATCTTATTTGCAGAACCGTTATACGCAGTATTCGACGCATCAGTCTGAGGAGTTTAATACCGCTTCTCGCTCTGTCAAGCCAGGTTTGATCGCCTCTGGTATTGTGTCGGCCTGGACATGGGCAGTAAGTATCCGTAACAGGGAACATAAGGAATACGCGGCTGATTTTTCCAAGGCTACACTCCTGCAATCATCGACTGTCGCGTATACCTATGGAATTGCAGGAAGCTATTGGTATGCAGCTGGAGCTACAGTACGTCTCCCGCCACAAACTCCCATCTATGTACGGTACGCAGACTGATGGTGCTCTGAAGGTTCAAATCCTAATGTTTGCAATTCTGGCCTGCAAAGTCAAGCAAAACGCGCCTCGATGCCACACCTACCTTGAAATCGTCAAAGCCAGATACGGCACGGCTGCGCATTTAGTCTTCATGGTCTTTGCTTTCATCACAAACATTCTAGTCGGGAGTCAGTTGCTCTTGGGAGGCAGTGCAGTCGTGACAAGCCTGACAGGAATGCCCGTATATGCAGCTATTTTCCTAATACCTGTTGGTAAGCGTGAAGCGTGGCGCACCCGTACAGCTCCAATACTGACGAAAAAAATAGGTGTATGCGCGTATGTAATGCTTGGTGGACTTAGAGCAACGTTCCTTTGCGACTACAGCCATACCCTGATCCTGATGATCATCATCTTATACTTCATGTTCAACACCTATGCCGTCAATCCGTTAATCGGCTCGCCTGGCAACATGTACGACTTGCTTGTCAGGGCTGGAAGTCAACGTCCAATCGAGGGCAACCAAGATGGATCCTATCTGACGCTCAAGTCCAACTACGGCTTAATCTTTGGCGTCATCCAACTCTGCTCCGGATCAGGGACCGTGTTCCTCGACCAGGCGTACTGGCAACGTGCTATTGCCTCCAAGCCTTCAACTGCCGTTCGCGCCTATCTTCTAGGCGGTATCGCATGGTTCGCGATTCCATTTGGTTTCGCGACAACACTCGGTCTAGCCGCTGCAGCACTCACGGATAACCCGCGCTTCCCGACCTACCCCGACCTGCCAACCCCTGGACAGATTTCGTCGGGACTTGCCTCTGCTTTTGCTGCGGAAACTCTGTTAGGTCAGGGCGGCGCCGTGGCACTTCTTGTCGTCTTGTTCATGGCAGTCACTTCATGCGCATCGGCTGAGCTCATCGCCGTCTCGTCGCTTCTGACCTTTGATGTGTACAAGGAGTATATCCAGCCCAAGGCTACACCCAAGCAGTTGATCTTCGTCTCACACATTATGATTTGTGTGTTTGGGTTGATCATGTCTGTCTTTGCCTGCATATGGAACGCACTTTCCATCGACCTTGGCTGGCTGTTCTTGTAAAGATCCCCTGGCATTGCCATTGCCATTGCCGTTACAGAATCCGCTAACACGCCTTAGAGTCATGGGTCTCCTCATCGGCGGAGCCGTCTTTCCCACCGCCTTCACAATCGTCTGGCGTAAGCAGACCAAGGCTGGTGCCATCTCCGGCTGTCTCACTGGGCTCGCCGCTGGTCTGACGGCATGGCTTGCAACCGCAAAGGTCTACTACGGTGTCATTGACGTGGAAACGACTGGCAAATCTTACCCAACACTGGCTGGTAACGTGGCAGCCATCACGACTGGTCTCATAGTCACCCTCACCATCTCCATGCTCAAACCGGATGATTTCGACTGGGAGTTGACCCGAGCGATCAACGCGATTGTCGTAGACGGAACACAAGATCACGGCACGACTACGCGTGCTAATAGTTCATCGCCGGAACTCTCAGACTTGACGGAGAAGAAGGGCTTCCAAAATACTATAAGCACTACTACTACTAATACTCCCCCTCCTCCGGCTGAGCTTCCCGCGCATCTCGCTCCGACCGCAGATGAAGGTGAAGACGATCCCCGTACGCTTCGAAGCGCCTTCAAACTCGCCTGCATCTTCGCTTTCGTACTGACCTTCATCCTCGACTTCCTGCTCCCCATGCCCATGTTCTTCTCCCACTACGTCTTCTCAAGAGGCTTCTTCACAGCCTGGGTGATTATCAGTTTCATCTGGGTCTTTGTGTCCAGCGCAATCAGCTGTTTGCTACCGGTATGGGAGACGAGACTGAGTTTTGTGAAATTGTTTCATAGGATGGTGGGGAGGGGTGTAGATGGCGTGTAAAGTAACTTTGACCATCAAGTTAGACCTCACCTTCCGACTCCACAGCATCGAGGGGACCGTATCGCGTGTAGATATTTCAATAATGGATTTTTCAACCTAACCAAGTCTCACTCCATCAAGAGGACCAGAGCCATGAGTACAGACACTAAAAGTTCATATTCCCCTCTGCTTGCGTCTTAGAAACTCCCACATTGCTCTCACAACAGCAAGTCCACTTCCCTGCGTCTCCACCGTCCTTCCTCTCCCACGGTCGTTCCAGTCGCCAGAAAATTGTGCTTTTGAGTCGTGGGTAAATATATACTCGTTCGGTGGTTGCTCGGATCTAGTCTGGCCGTCTGGAATGTAGTCGTCGACCATAGTGTTGCGGTAGTCGACTGCGCCGTGGGGGAGAAGCGCATCGAACATGTCTGAATACTGCCCATGCTTGTCGGTACTTGTTCTGGATGCCAGATTGTTCGGTGCGCCCCACCACGCTCCCATTCGGCCTTCATTGTCGCGAGTTCGCAACGCTGCTTGTGCGTTATGTACAACCCAATCGGCGTACTCGTCGCAACTCCTTTGGTGCAGTACAGCCGTCTCGCGGGTGGCAGCGTGCGTGAGGCCCGGTTTGACCGCATAAGTTGGCAGAGGCGCGCAAAAAGCAGTGAGATGGTGAAAGAATATGCCCTTGAATGTTTGACCGTCCTGATTACAACGGCCAGATGGGTCGCACAGTTCGGTCAAGATGCCATCGTTACCCAGCCCGCTCCAGGCTAATGGAAGCGCAGCTTTCTCTCTCTCAGCGTCTATGTTGCTCCTATTCTTTTGCGACTGTGGCTTGGTAAAAGTACCACGCGTCCAACCTGTGGCACGTATGACATTTCGGACTAGCTCGTGGCCATGTTCCAGGTATGTGATGTTGCCTGTGGCTTCCCATAGCCCTCGCAGACCAGAAAGTATCACGCCTTGGTTGTATGTGTACACCATTTCATTCCTCTCATCGCACGTCGTCTTGCTCTGATTCCAGCGGTATCCTCGAATGTGGAAGCCATCAGCATAGAGCCCCTGACTGTTCATCATACCGCTGTTCTTTAGCCACTCGTAGCCATTGATCGCGTTGGCAAGGAACACCGGGTCATAGCGTCCTCGGGCACCCTCTTCGCATTCCTCGTCCAGATCTTTTGTACGCGGGCGTCCAGCGTCCGACTGTGAGAGGAACGGAGAGCAATTGTCATCGCCAGGGAAGTGGAGATACATGCTGATGCTGGCGGATATGAAGAGCTGGTTCGTAATTGCGTTTTTGTAGGGTAAGAGTCGCGGGTTCCAGGTCATACCTCCACCACAGAGTCGCCAATCCCATCCTTCCTCGGCGAGTTCGTAAAAGACCCGCGATCTATGTGCAAAAACTGGGATGAACTGGTTAGCATGCCAGTAGTCTGGCCCTCCAATGCCAGCATTTTTCTCGGTCGCATAGTGCGTGGCAGAGTGCGACTCGATGAACTGTGTCGATTCTAGCCAGCCAAGGACGACCCAGAGCATATCGTCAAAAGCCTGCATTCTTATCGCGAAGTAATCCTCTCCGAAGTAGTAGCTTACACTTTGTGTAAAGTACCTGTTTATCTCATTTTCCACCATGAGTGCTTCCACGTCCAGTTTTCTATCTTTGTCAAACGTGCCGGGCATGGTATAGTCGATTGACCGAGATAAGGATGAGAGTGTGGCCGAGAGATAGGTGCCCATGACGGCAGCTGTCCAATCGATAGCAGTTGTCCATTTCCCTAGCCAGAGGGCGAAGTAGTGGTCTTGCATGACAGAAAGCGCATTGTGTAGATCGTGCAGGATGTTGGCGTCGGCAACTGTGGCAGTCGGCGCATGTCGGGGGATTGAGTCGAGAGTTTGTGTTGAAGGTGGGACTTTGGTGGAAAGGGGCAATGTATCGGCGAATGGTAGTTGGTGAACATTCTTCTGGTATCTGAGCTTACGGAGATGGTGGAACGAATCTTGGGATGTGTCAGTCTGGTGGTGATAGTGGTAGTGGTGGGATTGGTTGGAGACAGCCTTACTAGCTATGGGTCGCGCATTAGCATCGACGGCGACAGCGCTCAGCGCAAAGTAGACAATGAGTAGAGACAGCAAAGTGCAAGCCCGCAAAGGCAAGCATCGCAACAACATCATGTCAGCGAATGAAGCCTTGCGATTTAGCGAAGATACGATATGAGTAGTTAGCTTAGGGATGAGGTTGGGCAATGCAAAGCAGCATTCGCAAGCCGCTCTCGTGGAGCGGCAGATATCAATAATGTGTCGTGACGTTCATTGAGCGACGAACAAGAAAAGTGAGGAAGTTGTTCCCCACGCATGGAAGAAGGATTGCACGAGAAGCTAGAGTGTGGCTATCTGACGCCTGAGGCGTTCCAAGATGACGGCCAAGCTCGCCCTATGCGTGACGCCAAAGGAGGGCTATGACCAGTCGTTCCTTGTGGGGAGGGGTCGAGTCAAGTCACCAAAACGCATCGTTGAGAGATAGGACCCGCACATTCGCTACGTTGTTTAGTTGACAACTAGTCTGTGAAGTCTATCAAGCAAAAAGGATGAAGTATCGTGGCCAGTGTGACGATTCAACATTTGAACCTCTCCGATGCCAAGCCTAGACCCTGACCAAAACCACGCGCCGGCCTAAAGGTTACCCCGCTCTCGCCTGTCAGTCGCACGGTCCAGCTGTGAAAGACATGCAAAAAAAAAGAATGCAGCCTACCAAACAAAGCCGCGCACATTCACCCTTTGCCGTCTGCTAAAAAGTGCACAACAGACGCAAAAAGAATGGTGAACAGAGTGGGACTCGAACCCACGCCACTTTCGTGACTAGCAGACCCCGAAGAGACCTGAAGCTAGCGCCTTAACCGCTGTGATGATGTTAGTTGGTTATCTTACTGTGACGATGGAATATTCTTACCTCGGCCATCTGTCCTGAGATTGATGAGAAACTTGGCAGTAATTCATTAGATATTATCGAGTTTGCATTTGCCGACTCAGTAGACATTTTAGCGACACACCTAGCACCACGCATCCTCTTGTTTGAATTGGAGCTATTTGCCCAAAGCCGCTCGCCAATGGTAGGCAGTGGAGCATTTATCATCTCGGGTGACTACTAGGTGTCAATCACACCCTCACTATTTGAGTACACGATCCGTAAAAGCATTTTGAAAAGCATAGTGCATGACCAGTCGTTGCAGTAGCCTCAATCCTTCTAGATAACTAGAGGTTTCTCTGTACGTCTCCATGCTCCATGCTCGTTTTCCACTGCCCAGCAGCCCTGCCTAACTCCAGAGCAAACCAGACAGACGCTCCAAGGTGTTGTGAATTATGCTCACACCACACCGAAAAGCGACGATCTGCAGTTGATGAAAAACGAACATGGCCAGGCAGTGGCCTTGGAACCATCTCGTTAGGCCAAAAAAACAGTCATCCTAACCATTCATTGGCATCCGATGCTCTCTCACTCATCTTGCGCAATTTATCGAGCGCATCTCCAAGGCGTTAATCAACGTCTCCCCACAATCGAGCCACTTGATGTCATCGCTTCGGCTGTGCATCCACCCATGACCACCTTCCACTCCGACTCCCCGCCCAACAGCCACCTTTCAAGACAAACTAGCCGGACGGCTGTAGTCCCTAAACATCATCAGCGAACGCACTCCAAGCCGTGGATTAGGTATTGCACAGTGCGACTCGATGTCTGCGAGGCTGAAGTACTCTACAGTAAATTACCCCCATCGCCAATCAAGGTGGGGTGGCACGGAAGCAAGGACTCGCTCCGCCCACCCGCCCACGTGACCCTTGCTCTCGATCGGGGGCATTGAAGCGCAGAGAAGCTTCGGACGGCATCTATGCAGATTTAAGCCGCTTCGGGCATGACGTTGACAGAAAGGGTGGCATATGTAGTGCGTCGGAGTCATTGTGGCTGTGGGCACATGCTCTGTCGCAGGTTTCTGTGGGGAAGGAGACTTGATCTCTCTCTTCAATCACCACACTACAGTAGGCACACTACACCACAACTGGCCTTCTTATCCACGACGAGGCGTTGACGAAAGCATCAAAATTCTGGCATACCACGACTCCATAGCTCCATACAAGAGGGAGGTGAAGCAAACGATTCATTGTGCAGACTACCGTACAAGAAAGAGCAAGGGACAACATGGCACAAACACTGCAACCACACTGGCCCGCACAAGCGCCCTCCTACAACGACCACATCCTCACAATCACATCCTCTTCTTGCGCAGATCCCTATGTCCTCTGGGACAAAGGCACATACTACATGACCTTCACCTGCGGCGGCCACATTGAAATCTGGGCCGCCGACTCCCTCTTCGACTTTGAAAGGCGCTGCAGAAAGGAGGTTGTGTGGCGTCCCCCGCCCGACCAGCCCTACAGTGCCGATCTCTGGGCTCCCGAACTCCACGCCATCAATGGGAAATGGTGGGTTTATTTCGCGGCCGACGATCCCAAAATTGGCAACAGGAGTCATAGGATGTACGTGCTCGAGGGCCCGCCGGCAGACGAAAACCCACTGCAGCCTGCAAAGTGGAGGTTTCATGGACGAGTGGGCGGGTTGCCAGAGGACCAGTGGGCTATTGATGGGACAGTTGTCGCGCTTTACGGATCGCAATTCTTCGTCTATTCGGGCTGGCCGTTTGGAACACATGCGGATGAGAGTCGCCAGGAAATCTACATCATTGAGATGATCAGTCCCACAGAGTGTAAAGGACGGCCTATCCGCATCAGCACGCCAGACTTGCAGTTCGAATTCAGCGGCACGAGCGGTATCAATGAGGGCCCACAGTTCTTGTGCTCGCCGGATGGAAGGTGGAGTGGGATTGTGTATAGCTGCGCCGGTAGCTGGACCCACGAGTACAAGATGAACGTCCTATACTATACTGGTGGTCACCCACTGGACCCGACATCTTGGGCGAAGAGCAACAAACCCTTACTCCAAGCCTCGCGTGACGACTCGCCTCCCTATGGACCCGGTCACGGCAACTTTGTGCTCGTCAGCGGTCCCTCTGGGCCAGAGGTCTGGGGCATTTTCCACGCAACGGATGCGAAAACCGGATGGGAGGGTCGAAAAGCGCGTGTGATGCGTGTTGGATGGGGAAATGGCGGGCCATTCATGGGCAACGGTGAGTGTGGGAGGTGCTGTGGTGAAGTCGAGCATTTCATCCAGGGATGCCCAGGCGGTGTTTGCGGTGGACGAGGACACGGTGGCAGCGCCGGAGGAGGTGGAGGATCGTTCCTGCAACCGGGCAGACAGGGCGGCAACAGCACTGAGGATCTGAAGAGGGAGGTTAAGAACCTTGTCAAAGGCGGAAAGGGGCTCATCAGTAAGTTCCTCAAGTGAGCCGTGTGCTGTACTGGCTTGTGACACTGGCAAGACTTTGAGGATGAGGAACAGAGTCATCATTTTGAGTGCGAAAGTATGTACCGTCCTATTGATGGAAGTTTTGTGATACTCTGGCTCAGTGATTGTTGAAACATGTCACGGGCAAATGCTAACTGAGCGGCAGTTCACCCCTCTGCATCATTGCACATTTGCATCCAATACGAAAACTTTTAGCCATTTCGAGAAAGAGATATACCAATTCAACCCCTTCAATATCGATACTTTGTCCCAGCGTTCCACTTTTGAATGCTCTACCCGCATTGACTTATGGAGACGACGAGCTAAAGTAGGTATAGCTGACACGACTCCTTGCACGGGGTTACACGACAGAACACCGCAGGATCAGTACTACTAGGAATTCCTATACAATAGTCGCCGCGGCAGTCCAAGAAACGACTCTGCGGTAGGGTGGGGGCATAACACATTTGGTTGGCAGCCTGACAGGCGTCTACCCAGGCCTACCCCACCCTAGTAGTCTAACATTGTCAGCAATACGCTCATACGCGGGACTCCTAGGCGCGGAAAAGCCGTCTCATCCCTACTTAAGTATACTTTCGCCTGTTTCAACTTGGTTTCCTCTGCCGTTCCAACTCTAACTTGACCAGATCGACACACACACCACACACATATGCACACCCCTCCACCCTGCGCCCAAACAAAGTCTCATCACCTCCACTACCTCCACCACCCAACATGGCCAACATCCAAGGAACCTGCGACCCCCGCTTCGCCCCCCTCCAAGCCCTCCTAGAACAAAACCTGACCTCAGGCCTCGAACTCGGCGCCTCCATCTGCGTCAACCTGCACGGCACCAACGTCGTCGACCTCTGCGGCGGGTACACCTCGCCCGCCAAAACCCAAGCCTGGACGCCCACAACCCTCGTCAGCATCTGGTCCACCACAAAGACCATATCCGCCCTCGCCACCCTCCTCTGCATCGACCGCGGCCTGCTCGACCCAAACGCCCCCGTATCCACCTACTGGCCCGCCTTTGGCCAAAACGGCAAACAAGACATCAAAGTCCGCCACCTCCTCTCCCACGCCTCCGGCCTCTCCGCCTGGTCCGACAAAATCTCCATGCAAGACCTCTGCGACCTCGACAAATCAACTACCCTCCTCGAACAACAAGCCCCGCTCTGGCCCCCTGGTTCCGCATCCGGCTACCACGCCTGGTCAATGGGCCACCTCCTCGACGCCCTCGTCACCCGCGTCTCCGGCAACCCATTCGCCCAATTCATCCAAGACGAGCTAGCCCAGCCGCTGGGCGCAGACTTTCAACTCGGCGCAAAAGAACAAGACTGGCCCCGTCTGGCGGAAATCGTACCCCCTTCGCCCATGGAACCTCCTGCGTCCGTGGCAGACGCGACGAGCATTGCCGCCCAGACAATGCGGAATCCGCCACTTGATGCAAATGTGGCAAATACGCCGCTCTGGCGACGTGCGCAGCTGGCAGCGGGAAATGGGCATTCGAATGCGCACTCGGTGGCGCGCATCATGTCTGTGATTTCGCTTGGTGGCAGTGTCGACGGCAAGCAGTTTCTCTCGCCCGCGACCATGGATCTCGTTTTCAAGGAAGAGCAGAAAGGTGTGGATTTGGTGCTCGGGGTGCCGTTGAAGTTTGGCCTTGGCTTTGGGCTTACGGGCGAAGACACGAATAGGTCGTGGATTCCGGGGGGGAGGGTGGCGACGTGGGGGGGTTGGGGAGGGAGTATTGTGGTCATGGATGCGGATAGAGGGCTGACGATTGCCTATGTCATGAATAAGATGATGTCGGGGCCAGCCGCTGATGAGCGGATGAGGGGGTATGTAGAGGCTGTGTATAAAGCATTGGGTACTGAGGTCTAAGGGGCTCCCTAGAACCCCCCCATCTACATACCACTGTACACATTGTTCGAACCCCATGTCCCATCACCCCATCAACCAATGCTCGCTTTCCGCACTGTACGCTCTTCACTCAATCTCCACTTCCAGCAAACACGACTCTTCGGACCCCCACTCCCTTGCTCCTATACATCACATGATTCCCAACTCCCCAAACCCTTTCAAAACGTCCTTGTCCACCCTAGCCAACCACTCCTCCTGGAACAGCTGCTCGCCGCCCACAGCCTGCACAACGCCCTGAATATGCTCCCTCACAAACGCAACGAGGTTGATACGGTGCACTGGATCCGTGTAGATGAGCTCGCGCTTGCGAATGTCCTCTGGGGCTTCGGGTTCGGTGGGGTGATAGGGTTCTGGAGGCCAGAAGAGGGAGCTGGTGTTGTGTGTTAGTCTCGCTTTTCAGTGACCACTTGGCCTCCAGTATGTATATATGGGGTGGAGAGGAAGCAAAGCTGGGAAAGGATAAAAATGGACGACGTACTCTTGGCTCCTATCATCCATTCCCTCGAGGAGCTCACCCAGCACGTCTGTCCAGACGACGAACAAGTTCTGCAAACGTCCCAACATCCACTCCTGTCCTGATTCCAAGAAGCGCGTCAACACGAGCGTCATGAGTTTCTTGTTTGGTGCATCACCAATGTTTTCAATGTGGCTGAACCATTCTTCCAGCAGCCAGTCGAGTGTCTTTTCCAGGCTTTCGTTGCTCACCGACGATAGGGCTTCGAGTAGCGTGTTCGGCGATGCAAGACCGATACGTGCAAGCACGGTGAAATAGTCTGTTTCTACTACGCCATCAACAGCGCGTGAAGGTAGTTCGCGGTACGGACCATGGGACTGATGATGGGTCCATGCGCCGTGCAGGCCTTCGAGTACTTTGGCTAGGAAACCAGTGGAGATGAGATCACTGGCCAGGACTTTGATGGCTTGTTCTCCACCGACACCCTCAGCGCCACGGATGATGCATTGCACGAGATGGGTCATGATACCATTTGCTTCTGGCTTTAGGGTACCTTGAAGCTCAGCAAGAGCGTGAAGCATGGCGGGGCGGAAGTCGTCAGCGAGGACCGCGGCAGGTGCCAGGAGGAGGTATGCTTCGGTAATCTCAATTGCTTTTCTAAGCGTCTCGTTGTCCATGGTGAATAGTGGAAGAAGGTATTGTAGCAGGTTGAGGAGCTCAGGTGGTGTAGGTTCAGGGGCTGATGGTGTTTGTGCGAGGATGGAGGCCCAGAGATCTAATGCGTCCTCGAGAAGGTAGACTTGTGTGTCTGAGCCAGGCTGAATCGCACTCTCAATGATTGGCAAGAAGGAGACATGAAATGTGCGCGAGTCTGCCTTCATCGCATTAGTCAGACGGGCAAGGACAGTCAGGATCGCTTGCTTCATCAAATGCTCTTCGCCAGACTGCTCCCAGAGCGGTGGCAGGAGGGAGACGATGCTGTTTGCGTAGGGTGTAATCTAACATTGTTAGTATAAAATCGCGTTTAATGTACACACAGACTTACATGATGTTCCAGTCGCTCAACGATGATACTGATGGTGTTGAGCAGCGCCATCTTGGTCTCTGGAAGCTCCACCTCTTGTACCAAAGCCATCAGCCTCTCGAGCATGACAGGCGCATATGGTAGAAAGTTGTCGGCATGAAATTCCCATTCATCTGCCACGTCCTTGAACTTCCTCCCAGCCGTCACACGGACAACCTGGTCGTTGAGCGGATCGGTGGGATCTAAGAGATGCTGAAAAATCTGATAGACGATCGGCTTCTTCTCCTTTGCAATCTTGATGGAGATCCATTGAGAGATGATGATGGCAATACGGCGCCGTATGATGTTGTAGCCTGGCTTTTGCTTTCCGACCTCGGCGACCAAGGTGTTGTCAAGAAAGGAGTCAAAGTCGACTTGATCGTGTAGAATGTCAGCAGCAAGGCCGATGGCTGTGTATACCGAATCCTTGAAAAGAACGTCCTCATTGTCGGGAGCTGTTCCCGGTCAGTAAACTAGGTCACACTCTCGAGCGTGAGCACTCACTCGCAACAGTGTAGAAGACTTGGAGCAGTGGTTGAACGATCAACTGTTTGAAATTCTTCGCAAGATCTAAGAACAGCTTCTCGGCGCAAGGTCGGATGGCAAACTCCCAGTCTTCGCCGCCCTCCTCCATCTTCTCCCACTCGTCGGGCTCCTCCTCCCACATACGAAGATCGCTAGGTCGAAAGACAAAGAAGCGGGTGACGAGTGCGGAGATCATTTCGCGGACCAGGTCGTCAGTCAGGAGATCTGATTTGACCATTTGTGTGGCCTGATTCTTTTCGTCTTTCTCCGCCTGTTGCTTGTATTTGAAGGACTGGGCAGGGTAGAAGACCATCTTCACGCAAGCACGTATCAGGAGAAGTCCCTTTAGGGCTAGCCTCTCCAGAATCGGCGCTTCGTCTTCAGCATCGCCGTCTGTGCCAATCTTTGCGCTCTCTATCGACTTGCATCCCCAAGTCTCTCCGACGCGGGAGATGAGAGTCCAATAGTCGCGCGTCAGGTCTAAGGATTGAGGCAAGAGGACGAAGTTTGCGGGATGGGTGGCTGCCATGTTCATGTGTAGTTTGGAAAGCTGCATGAGATGCTTGCCAATCCTCTTCTGTATCGACTCGGCCAATTGGGAGTCTTGTGCCGTGACGTATTGTAAGAACTCGCCCAAGTGGGTGCGTGTCAGCGTCCAGAATTCCTGGACATCCTTGTCTCGAGCGGGAAACTCGTAGCCAGTGATGAGTAGACGACGAAGGACCTTGATGGTTAGCAGGCTATTCTCGATGCTCTCCATGGCACCGCCTTCATCCTCACCGCCTTCACGGAAGAAGGACTGCCAAGTCTGCACCTTGTTCAGGTATATAGTGCCTAGGACATTGAATATCTCTGGCGCGACACTCTGCAAGCTCTGGCGAGTACGCTGAAGCCGTCCGGTCGAGAGTTCTTTGATGATATACAGCAGCACCAGAAGGGCTCGAGGAAGTTGTAAGCGGTACGCGGAGGGTTCGGTCGAGGCGCGAAGAATCTGGAGCAATTGTTGGAAGAGGTCAGGCCTGGCCAAGTCAGCCCCAATCTTTGTTCAGCACACTGCGCACTCACCAATCGCTCGGATACTCGAAGCGGACAATCTTAGCGACCACCAGAGCATTCTGCAGGGCCAGGCGATGGTCTGCTTCGTTGACTGCACTTTCAAGCAAACGGGCACGTATGGTGGCCTTGTCCTCCTTGCTGACGGCACTGGCGCAAGTCAGACGGATGTGGTTGTGAAAGATTTTGTTTGAATTTGGGTATTACTTGGTGGCAGTCTTACGCCAGTACTTGTCGATGCCATTCTTGAGCTGGATGACGGCGAGGTAGCGGACCTCGAAGGGGAGGGACTTGTCGACGAAGACAGACTGTTTGGGGGGGGGGGGGGGTTAGTGGGAGGGTTCAAGTGAAGAAGATGAGAGAAGAAGGAGGGGGAGGGGGAGAGAAGGAGGAGGAGAAACAGCAGAGTTGGGACGTGCCTGTAACAGAGGATAGAAGCCCTGGGCCTTTTCCCACGTCTGAAGCTGTTTGGTGCCAGTCTGGACCTGGGTGGGGTCTGACGAGGAGGCAGAGCGCAGGACATGGAACAGAATGCCTTGGGCAAGAGGATTGGCCTCGCCAGGCAGCTCTATAGCGCCAACAAAGTCCATGGTGGATTGAGGTAAGGAGGTCAATGGAGGGGTTCAGTATGGAGTTGTGTTTCGGGTCAAGGAGCGAATGGTGGGGAGAGGGTGGGGAGCAAGAATGAATTGTGTGTGGTGAGGGTGAAGTAGAAGCCTGCTCACCCAGGCCGAGTCTTGTCGTGTCGTGTCGTGTCGTGTCGAGTCGTGTCGTGTCGTGTCTTGGGGGTTGTTCTGTTGTTTGTGTGTATCTTGTTTGGGAGGAGGGAGACAGGCCAAAAGTTCCCCCTCCCCCCCCCCTCCCACAACGTCGTCACACGCCGAAGCTCCGACAAACACCCGGCGATGACAGCCTCTCTACATGGACAGACAGACAGATCTACACCCATTGGACACATCACTCGACTTGGGCCCATCTTGGAAAGCCCACTTGGCATGGCATGCCACCAGGAGATGAAGAATGAACAAAAAACAAAAACACGACAAGAGAGCACGGCGCTGAACAAGGCAATCTGCATTCGATCATCCATGGCCAAACCACGCCTGGCCGTACCGTCTCCAATCCCTACGCTATCATCCACGGTATCATCCGCTGGCGAACCTCGGTCCACGTCGCCCACGCCAACAACCAACAATCACGCTGTCACGTTCCCTGCCACTCCACTCCACTCCAATCCACTCCATCCACTCACTTCACTCCCACTCACTCCACTTCACCCCCCCCCCCTCCACGTGCTGTTGTTCCGCTGTCGAATGAGGGTCGACATGCTCTGCTGGGATGATGTGAACTGTTTTTGGTTCGTGAACTATTGAATAGATATATGAGGTAATCC